TAAATATTGACCATATATATATAAATATCTTTAACCCCGACAAGACAATTACTACAAGTCTGCACACACCATTGAAATAGAAATGAGAGAGAGTGATGGAGTTTAACGTCCATTCAACACAAACCAGGTTATTTTGGGACTAACACATGGTTCAATTTTTATGGCCCTTGATCTCTTTGAAAAATCTTGTGGACGCTCTAGAGGCTAAAGTTGGTATCCGATTGACTTATACACAATGTTTAAGGTCAAGAGATGAGGAAGCCTTTTGATTTCCAACGATTTACGATAATTACTGTTCGAGTTATGGTCCTTGATCACTTTGAAAAATCTTGTGGACGCTCTAGAGACTAAAGTTAATATCTGATTGACTTTAATTTTATACAAAGTGTTTAAGGTTATTGATTTCCAGCGATATCCGATAATTACTGCCAGTGTTATTGCCTTTGATCACTTTGAAAAATCTTGTGGACGCTCTAGGGACTAAAGTTGGTATCGATTGACTTTAGATTTATATACAATGTTTAGGGTCATGAGATGGGGAAGCCTTTTGATTTCCAACGATTTCCGATAATTACTGCCAGAGGTATGGCCCTTGATAACTTTGAAAAATCTTGTGGATGCTCTAAAATTAATATCCCATTGACTTGAAATTTATACACAGTGTTTAACTTCATGAGAGGAGGAGCCTATTGATTGTCAATGCTTTCCGATAATTACTTCCAGAATTATGGCCCTTGATACTAAATGTTTTGTATAGTAAACGTTCGCAGAGGGCAGAACTAGAAACCAAACAAATTCTACTGATTTCTGATAATTACTTAATGGGTTGTTACTCGTACTCAGATTTTAGAGTCGTAAATGTTTTCATTACTGACCAAAGAAATGTGGAAACCCTTGTTGACTGCCGGGATGACTTAGCTGCTATGGGTTCCCTTTTGTCCTAATAGCTTGATTTGCTCCGTTCTTTGCAATTCCTTTGGTTAAAAGGTTCTTTGACACTTCTAAAAATTATTTATATTTTGTAGTTTATTCATTTTGACTAAAGTACACATAATTATTTACGTTTTATATTATAGAGAATGTTGAATATTTCAAAAATACTTTTTAACAGACTTTACTGTGAATGTGAATTTGTTTGCTTTCGTAGCAAAATATAAGTGCAGTGTGTCTGAATTCAATGAAAAATAATCATTTCTATAACATTCTATACGTTGTAATTGCATATCCATGTACTTAATCCATCCTTAAACTACCCCCCTGAGATGACTAAATATTGGAGTGATTTAGTCAATGATTAAGTACAAGTCAACGTTCCAGAACACCACATTTTATGGTATTCTCGAACAATGATTTACTCACTGACTAAGCTAATCAAAGTTTATAAAAATCTTAGCTTAAAATTTAATCAGCTTTTCAGAATATGACTGGTCTGAAAATCAGAGATTAAATCTATGATTAGCACTAATCCACTTTCAAAAATACGGGCCTAAAAGACCAATCCGTCTAAATTAAATTAATTTAAATTAATTTATATTCCAATTTAATTTAATTTAATTTAATTTAGACGGATTGGTGTTTGAAAGTTAAATTCAATTCAATTCAAGTATTAAAAATCAAATTAAATCATTAAAGCTCTTTCGGGTAAATTATGATTATATGTAATTTGACAGGTATTCTTTGATAGACGTCCATTGTTGTATGATTTAAAGTCTATCTACAGTTCTGCGGCAAGTATATGGGTAAATCCAAGATCTAAACCATTGTGCATTTCTTCTTAAGTTAACTTATTGAACTAAACATTCCATATTAAAACATAATACTATCTCAGGCACACAAGCAATATAGTTGTACCATACGTTAATCCGAAATTACCTGTTGTTTTTATCGTGTGGACGTTCAACGTTTGATGTAAAGAATGATATTGAGCAAAAATGCAAGATTGCTGAAAAAAGCAAAAGTAATTGTTTGTACGGTTCAAAAGCATTATAGTTCCGAATTTATAAGTTTTGCAATTTTAAAGAAAACAACTTCCACATGAAAATTAAATGTGTTTGACCTAATGCTACTGGTTTTATAAAATTATTTCTTATGACCAACGCTGTAAAGAAAATAAACACAATAAAAAAAAATAATCCCAATGTCTTTCTCTAAGGTTTGTGTCGAGTGGACGTTAAACCCCATTTCTCTCTCTCTCTCTTTCTCTAAGATAGGATTCCTTTTAAACATTACCCGATTAAATATATTAAAATCTTTAAAAACAAACATCAGTGGAATGGATGTTTGACTTAAATTTGGGACAAGATTCCCACTTATAACTTGCTAATCCCAACACATGAAAATAAATTTAATCCCAAAAGCCCTGTCCAGTAGAGCGTTTGGGGATTGGATGAAAATTACAACAAATCTCAGTAAAATCGATGCATGATTCTAAATTTAGAATGGCTGGTGAAATAATCTCAGCAAACCTCAATTTCTACAATGAATGAGAACGTTATTTACTGTAGTCGAATGAAAACAAGTACACATTCCGCCAAAGGTGTTAAGAAACACAAATTCTTCTTGTATGTTTAAATCACACAAAACTAATAAAATATTAAGTGCGACGGCTGTGTTGTTAACGTTCGAAAATTATTAGAAGTTTTCCGAATACCTATTTTCATTAAACAAAACAATAAAACGTTTTATAAAGTGTGGATACAGTCGATATTATTAAAGAATAATAGAATAATTCATTTCCCACCATATTCGTTGTATTAATTTTAATAGAACATTATTGATATAAGGGCGGTGAACTAGTCTATTTAAATCAATAGTGGTGTGAAGAGTGAAAAGAGGGATGGGCCTTTCATATATTCATAATATTATTTATCTTTCTGTGATATAAACACTTCATTTATGCCTACAGGGGAACGCAATGTGTCCTAATAAAGGGTGTATGGTTATGAATGATTCATATGAGTTTTAATATCCCTGAGATAATCACAATTTAATTCATAGCTATGATAATATCTTGTTTGAAAACTGTCCATGGAAAAACTATAATCCCATTTGTTACAAATATTTGCACTAAAGGCTGTATTCTTTTAAGATTTGGTTGATTTTTTTGAGTAACGCTTGAATGTTGGCACCTCACAATGTTCTAAAAGTTGATTCGGGTATATGTAATCATTAATCTTAAATTTTTGAAACATGTTGAACAGATCTGTAAGTAGGAAATAATGACTTGTGATTGTTACTGTCAACCATCACAATTTGCCACAAAAAGCTAGGAATGTATAACGTGATTTGATTGCATTTTCTGACAACTTAATTTTACAAATGAATTTATATTCGGCTGCCATGTGCAAAGGGCAGATAATCTCTCCCCGAATATGTTGTGTATACTTACATGTATACGTGCACCTAATTCAATATTATTACGGCCCAGAGGGGGATATTTATAAATAATTAAATCGGCCTATAAATAAGTAAACGACAATCTGCTTTACCGTTCTTTAAACTGATGTCCTCTATATCACTTTCAAAAATATGCGTTGTATACGGGACCACTCTACTGAATGTTATCACGGCCTAGAAGGATCTATTATAAACAGATAACCTTAATGATATTCAACCGACCTATCGATTATTCTTAATATCTTTAAATTTCCTTCCTGGAGTTACATCGATTGTCCCCGGTTTAAAAGCTTTCGTGTTCTTGGTGAACCTAGCGTGTGTGTGTGTGTGGGGGGGGGGGGGGGGTAACGCCCAACCGACACAAACTAGGTCATTTCAGGACTAACACATGGTTCAATATTTTTTCAATAATTCACTTGCGCGTAGGGGTATTTAGCAGTGGGAGGAAACCGGAGGACCCAGAGAAAACCCGCGAGGTTGGATAGGCGGCCCTACTCCTTATCACGTACAACCGGGGAATCAAAATCACGCCAGATGACTCAATGACAGACCTTATGTTACAGCGCGCACGTATTCGCCCCCCCCCCCGCCCCCCCCCCCCCCTTTAAAAAAGCAATGCAGGACTATTTGAATAATCGTGACTTCCATTTCATCAGAAGCAGCTCTTCATTGTATATTTTAAACCAAGCTTAAAGACATTATTTTTTTAATATTGCATTTCAATAACTGTTTTTTATAGACCTATGCTAATATTTGTTTTTATCTTATGTTCGATGTTATGGTTCAATTTTATATTATATACGTAATTATTTTATGGGACATTTTATGTAAATGCCGCTATATAAATCTATGCTAATTATAATAAAAAATAATTTATTACCTTTACCGGGATTTGAAATTATTTTGCATTACCCTGGCGCCAGAGGCGTAGCCGTGAAATATATATTGGGGGAGTCCGCAACCCTAACCCTAACCCTAACTCATTTTTAAAACCTCACAAACAAACACCATGTGGCCATGCTGTCTACCAAGACACCGCGTGCAAAAGCATTATGGTTACGTTGCTGGGTAATGTTTTTGGGTACCTACATGCGATTCACTCTTATAAGTGGCAGAAAAAAAATAACAAAATATTACTGACTGGCTAACTAGACACAATTTTATGGAACACAGTTACTTTTCACTTCACACATGTTTCCAGGATGATTTTCTCTGTGTTTTATTAAGCAATGTAAACCATATTGGGATATGTACAGGTTTTATACAGATAGAATCTTAACTTATCCTAATATTTGTTGTAAATAAATAGGAGTTTGGGCCTACTTTGTAATTTTTTTTAATTTTTTTTTTTTTTGGGGGGGGGGGGCAAGTATATTCAGACCCCCCCCCCCCCCGAAAACAATTGGGGGGGGCGGACACCCCCCCCCCCCCCGGGCACCTCCCCCATGTGTGACGCCCATGCCTGGCGCAAATATTGAAACTTGGCTTTCTAATAAAACTTGCTACAGATACATGCTTACACCATATGTGAGTCGGTGTGGCTATTCAATCCTATCATAACAAAACATTACCAAGCTACTACTTTTTTCGTATTATCGGATTGGTGATAACACGTGATTTGGTCCAACTATGTTCACGGGATTACGTTCAGAATCGTTAAATTGCAACCGTTTGTTACAGTAACAACATGATAGAGGTATGGACGAAAGAGTAAAAAGGAGCTGACATTAATGGTAGGTTAGAGTTCGGTCAATTGTACGATTTACTTTTAAATATTGGATTTGAATAAAAACACTGTTTCCACGGTATTTAATTTACTATAACGATACAAATATTTTCTAATAAAGTGTGCCATTTCTTAATAATTTTACTTGTTAATGATAAAGTATTAGGAGGTACTTAACTATAAATTCATAGCACTCAAATGAATTGTGCACTGTAATTATTTAATTCTGTTATTCTATTATTCTATCGATTGTTTTGTTTGTTTTGTTGGGTTTTTTTTGAGAAAATATGTTAAACTTGTGAATGTTTCCCCAAATTACGTGTTTTATGTATTTCTATGGTGTATTCAGTATTAAACCTTCCAGATAAAATACATCAAATTTAAAAATACCAACCCTATAATAAACCCGATTTGGATAAAATGTGCACACCAAATTTGGAAATATCAACCCTATAATAACCCCGGTTTGGCTAAATGGGTTCCTTGACTCGAGTGAAACAGCATTATTTACGGATATAGCTGTATCATACGTACCCTTTTTATAATTAAAACAGAGAGTCAAACCCCGATACCAGATCAGAATTCTAAGAGCGTCGGTTACCTTCTCAATGAACACCGCGGGTCAAGGTGACATCTAACTTATGTTGTCTTTCGTTTAATCGTCTAGATTAATCTAAAACCCTTATTTTTGTTATATCTGAATCAGGGCCGTATCTAGCGGGGGTGCAGGGGGTACCCCCAGAAAAATATGGCGCCCCCCCCCCCCAAATAAAAATAAAAAATAAAATAAAATTTGATAACCTTTCAATCATAAAATAATACACTTGATTATGATCACACAGTGATGCTCTTAAGGCACTGATCAGTTGGTCTTTTTTTAAGGGCGCTCACATTATTTTGGCGCCCCACTACTCTGCTGCACCCCCACTTTTAAAATCCTGCATACGGCCCTGATCTGAATGGGATAAATGATCCGAGTTCAATGCAGCTTCATTAGTAAAATAACCAATCAAACAATTATTAAGAACATATTTATTTTTTTCAGATGACGTAGAATAACTTTTAGCTCGAGGAATCGGCCAGAGAACACATGTTATCTACCACAGTCACCATCTGTTATTTGGACTATCCGTGATGATATAAAGATTAATTGGTTATAACAACTTACATCAGAGTGCATCATATCATTGTAAATCGGACCATGTCTTATTCAACAATTAATTCGATCTACTTAAAATTCTATTTATTAGTGTTTTTTATAATGACTATTTTTGCTGTGGTTAATATGTTCACATCATTAAAGTACATCCGTGAAAGTTATGGAAGTATCCAGAAATTTGAACCCATGACTAATGTTTATTATATCAAAGATTTTCAAGAATACAACACTAAGAACGACAATTTGGCCCATAGTTCCCAATCTGAGGTTGACGTATCCAGTTCGAAACTTCCAAAATTAAGATCGGAATCAAGTGATATAAAGAGACCCTATAACTGTTCAGATTGCTTCAAGCACAACTTTCAATATATCATTCTCAACAAGAAGATATGCGACGTAAAGAGGGATACATCTGTGGAACTTTTCTTATTTATTCTCACCATCCATCAAAATATTAAACAACGGACTATGATTAGAAATACGTGGTTATCAATATCAAAAAATAATACTTCAGATGTAAGATATGTGTTCTTGTTAGGCAAATCAATGCATGAAGCAATGAACCGGAAGGCTATCGAAGAAGCGGCAATTTTTAATGATATTATAATGGAGGATTTTAAAGATTCCTATCAAAATTTAACATACAAAACAATAATGGGATTAAAATATGTTTCTAATTATTGTAAACAAACAAAATACGTTTTTAAAACTGATGATGATATGTGGATTAACATACCTGCTTTACAGAGATTATTAAAAACGGATGGACATAAATTAGAAACGGCTGTGGGCGGTGCGTGTCGCCAGTCCTCTAATCCAATACGTAAAAAATCGTCAAAATGGTACGCTTCCTATTCGAGATACCCAGGTAAAACCTATCCCGGGTTTTGTTCAGGGACTGGATATGTTTTAAGCGTTAATGTTGCTCAAAAGGTTTTTGAGATATCTAAAGACGTACCGTTCTATCATTTGGAAGATGTTTATGTGGCTTTATGTGCGCGAAAATTGGGTTTTAAACTGATACGTTTACGTGGATTTGTAATACCCCGGAAGCGTAATAACACATGTGTGTTAAAATCGGATAAAGTAATAACTTCTCATAGAGTTCCTCCCAAATCTTTAAAGGCAATATGGGAAGCAAAATGTTAATTCAAGAGTACATGATTATAACTTGGATATATTCACTTCGAAAATAGTGTAATGGTTCATGGAGAATCAACGGATGGCTTTTGATTTTCAACGGATTTAAACAACGCTATTTCTAATTAATTATTTAATTAAAATAATGAAAATGAAAATCGAGATTAAATTGTTCTTCTAACGGTTATAACTCCGCTCAGAATGAAGTAATTTGACTGAAATTTTCATTATCTATTTTTGAACACTGAAAAAACACTTGTGTTGGATCTCAACACAAGTACTTGTGTTAAAACCAATCTACACAAGTTATGTGTTGTTTTGCATTGCATTAACACAAACTTGTGTCGATTTATAAAATCTTGTGTTTTTTTCATATCATTAACACAAGTAATGTGTACCTTCCAAGATTTGTTTTCTTTTTAAAAAAAAAACTCCATACAAAGTCTGAATTCGGGAGTCGTCAAGTTTTAAGAAAAGTAATAAAGGGCTTAATTCACATCTCGAAAATCACATGCTGTTCTTCACTGGAAGGGTGTGAGTACCAATTAATCAGACAATTGCCAGACAGACTTGAATGTTAATTGATGTTAAGTTGTCTGTAAAGTTAAAATGTCTGTCTTTTTTTATTGACCCAATAAACTGATAGATCAAATGAATATATAGTGTACATGTGATTTTCAGCACCCTGGTGTTTTCGAAAATTGATTCAATGTACAATGAACAAAAAAAATGAGTAAAACTCTTAACAATGTAATTGGTTGATGTAATCGAAATTGGACAGTATTGGTTAACTGAAAAGTAACCAATCAAATTTAATTGATCATCCACGTGTATCTCATAATCGACTTATTGATATAATGGTTCTCCAAGTTATCTATACTTTTTGTCTGCGATATCACTTCGGTGGAAGCGGACGTAAAATACAACTAACTAAGAAGAAGTATCTATACTTTAGTCATTGCGACAAATTCTTTCTTTGATATTATATCAGCGACATTCAGTTAGATAGATGTAGTGAAGTTAGCATCAACAGGGTGCTTTAGACGTGATATTTTAAAAAAAATTATAATGGTCACATAGAATACCAGACCGCAGGTTTGTAAATTTTTACAAAAAATAAAACCGTGTATTTAATTTAGCATGTATATATTGCTTCTATGTATATAATAATTCGTTTCGTTTAAAACAGTCAGATTTAGAACTACTGCCACTGACTGCACCGGTAGTCTATTTATGTCATGGCGCCACAAAGAAAATTTTTTTGATGTGTTCTAAAAGTGTTCCGCTAATTCAGCAATCTAATGAATCTGTCTTAATTTTTCTGAAATCGTGCTTAATTATTATTAGCTAATAGGCGCTATACCGTTGTTCAAATACTTATAATTGCAAGAAACCCCCGACTAGGACCAGCAGGTAAGAATCTGTCTTGATTTTATAGTAATACCCGGTTGCAATTATTGGCCGCCATCTTTGATTTTTATAGACGTTCGGGCAAAAGGAGAAATGTATATCCAGACATGGACTATAGCTAGATACTAACTTTTGTGTTAGTTGTTTAGTTGAAATGTAAGCTTATTTCTGTAAAAGAAAAAAACAACAACAAACAAATCAGCCTTTTTTTATATCAATGTCATCAATGTGTAGGCCTAATATTAGACTTTCAATGATTCAGAAGTTTCTCTACAGTTTCGTTATTTTTTTTTCCAGTCATTGATGTTAGCATGTACTACACAAAGAAAAACAGTTAACAGAATTTCATTTCCTTTTAATATATTTTTTTTAATAATGGCCAATAATTGTTATTGTATGTAACACGAAAAGTATTTATGCCATTCATTTCCTTGTATTAAATTGGTCGAATCAAGTAGGTCCATGCTATATATATATGTCCTAGAATCAAGTAGGACAGGTAGTCTTCTTCCGCCCTTTTTCTGAACACTGTCTCATTCTATTGCCATCTGTGTATGTTGTGTTATATTAATTCTGCATAATTAACTCTAGTTAACCTAGTTAACTCTATAATAATAAATGAATTTAATATATAAATAAATAAATAAAATATAAATAAACCAATAATATATTTGTAGTTTAATATGTTTTATCTTATCATTACAGGCAAAGCATGAAGCCAAAGGAAATGTTTTTACCAAGGCATGTTCCTCAATAGCGGAGAGAGAGTTTTATCCAGTGTCGGTTCTGCAGAAGAACCCATTCATAGCAGACCACCCATTGCAGCACCTGTAAAGGTCGCTATAAAGAACCCGACAGACTCTGCGACCAAAAGATCCCACTGACGTGTCGTCAAGCGTAAGTACTCATGCAATTAAATACCCATGTATATAAGAATTTATTAACATGTAATTAAATGTACAATTTTATTTATTTATTAACATGTACTTAAATGTACTTTTTTATTTATTTTTTGTTTTAGCTTGACGAAGATTTCATCGATCATAGTGCACCGGGATTTTATCAAAAATGAGTAAAAGTTGGGGAAAGGCGCCATCACATTTTTTGTACTGATAGACAGATGCAACTACTCGCACGCGCAAAAACTTGGTATATGGATGCAACTTTTCGGGTGGTGAACAAGCCATGGTCTCGGCTGTTTTCCATACACGCCTTCATTAAGACTGGAGAGACCACCCGACAGTTACCATTGGTGTTTTGTGTAATGTCGGGTAAAAGCCAAGACGACTATTATAAGGTAAATAGCACTTACTGATTGAATTACTATTAATAGTAAAAAAGGACTATTATTTGGGACCTTGAAATTGTCACAAATGGATTTGTTGATTGGAGTTCAGATGTCTACATTAAAATCGACCACTTTCAGGTTGCCGTATTCACGGCCAGGCAAGACCGACTTGAAATTTCTAGAAATTTTTCTGGGGGAGACAGGCCCCAACAAATCCCCCGACGGTGCGTTTCACGACTTTGGCGCAAGACGGTGACCTTGAAGAGACGTCGAAAACCATTTAATAGACATAGTAAAAGTCATATCTTACGAGATTATCGCTGGTCTTGTCAGAAAATGCTATTTTATATATGACCAGTTTGTGTTTGAAAAATTTAATTATTTATTCTCCCACCATTAAAGCACACTAATTACGAAATATCGCTCTCAGAAACTTCATGGTTACTTTTGCAATTTGTTTGGGGTAAGACGTTATATAAATAATATCAATCTGTCTACCACACAAAATTTAACAGATACAAATGCATGTTATTCCACAGGTAGACAGACAGGGTCTCCTTTGAAGGGACTCAGTGAAGGGAACGCGGTTGGTTTAGAGTTTGTCTGACCCCTTTGAATATTTGCGTCTCATCTCCAATGAAAACAATCATGTTGCTCTCATGCTGTTCTCAACCAGAATCAAACATATATCGTACCTGAGATTTGTTAGCATGTTCCACACAACCCAACATTTATCGGCACCGGGATTAAGGGTGTATATCTTTGTTTCTAACGCTTATTGGGAATACGCCACGGAAACTACAATAAAAACTTATTTACAAAAACATTCTAAAGAGGGAAAACTGACATATTTCAAGTTTTACTGTATTTAAAGAAATAATTTAAATCAGCCGGCTGAAACCCTGTCTCCGCTATTTGTACAGTCATTCTTTAGGTATAGTGCCAGTTTCCACCGACAATGATATTGCAAACAAGTGTCCAATCTATAAAAGCATACATTCCTACAAAATGTTTCTTTAGTGAAGTGAAACAATAAATTCATAACTATGCGAGGGTGTGGTGAGTAAATTCTTGGTAACGTGAATAGGCTAATGTGACATAGAACAAGGTCACATTGATGTTGACAAATACGTAAGACGATATGAACATCAACTAAAAAGATATTTAATGTGATTCAGCATATATGCAGCATAGATAATGAAAACTTCTATTCAAGTTAAACCTGTATCTATTTATTTAAGTCTTACGTCGAGCTGAATACATTTTATGATTTATTTTCATCTATTGGTGGTTAACAGTGTGTAACTAAAAACTAAAATTGGATCTTTATTATTGCCAATGATATAATGTACATGTAATAGCAAGTGTATATATATTTTTTGTTCAGTCTGTACACAGTAACATATCTGAGAACCATATTATTATCATTTCTGCCCAAGGCTCCCTGTGCCTTATAGTTAGCAGTGATACAAGGCAATTACCAATTTTCCATGTTCTTGGCCTGAAGAAATAAAATAATAAAAGTCATGTTTTTATTATTATGCAAGTGGAAAAATACAATTATTCATAGTATGATTTGAATAAATACAACTGATTTGAAGTTGGAATTATTATTTGTCTAAGATGACTGGGCATTTACAAATTGAAATAGCTACTCTTCAATAAGAAAATACATGAATATTTTTCCCAATTCACCTGGATTTTATTGTAGGTCTTTGTACGTGAAATAGCTTTATTTAACGTCCGCTACCACCGAAGTGATATTGCAGAAAATTAACAAATTCGGATTCCCTTTTAAAGGAAATTGACTGCACTATTGCTGGATTGTATTATATAGGTCATGTCAGTTTTTTTCAAAATGGCGCCCAGAACACAAAACAAACATTGCAATTCAGGGCTGACTGGTGTCGAGGCTGTATCCTAAGAATGATTTTTTGAATATTTAATCACACAGAAACACAAGTATGCACATGCAGTTATGATATAATATTAAATTAGCTTACCTCAAATACCTCGAAATATACTGTTTGGTCAGTTTGTCCGCCCGCCATATTTCTATTAGTCACACATCCTTCGGCCAATTAAAATGGACGTATATTTTGTTTTAACCGAAACGAAAAATTTGCGTTATAAATAGTAAACGAGCTTGATTGACAGACCACTGCTAATGTTTTTTCGTGAAACGGAAAAACTGCAATCAACACACGGCCGCCATTCTCGATGATTGACAACTCACATTTTTCCTCATCCACCAAAGAACCCTTAGGTTTCTTTGAACATACTGTAATAACATTGGGATTATCAGTTAATCAGCTTTAATTATCCCGCTTTGATCGTTGCCATTTCTTATATTTTCCACAAAAAAACTTTGCCTTGTACGCACTAATTTATCAATTGGTATTGCCATCTACGACAAGCATGTCAACGTGCAGCTCACGGATTATCGTTAACAATTTCTAGGGGCTTGTAAAAAAAAGATTGCATGTCGTGTAAATATTTATTTTGTTTTTTGTGTAGGTCATTTTCAAATAAATTCATCAGCATATTATTCGTTTTAAATAAATATAAAACTTTTATGAGAAACGATGATTATCAAAGAACCGTAAGTGCAACTAATGTTTCCATAAGTATGTGTTTTTTGTGTAATGTTTTATCGTTTGGTTGAGCCTTTTACTAACCACGTGTTTCATGTTAATAAATATTTTCTTGAGTCCCAAATGACGCGAGTCCCAAATGATGCGAGTCCCAAATGACATGTAATCAACCTAGAGTTGTTGTTAGTGTTTGTCGGATAGATCCTTTATACTTACTGGCGCTAGGTAATTTCGAGGCTAATATTGTTCAATTTTATTTGAATGATTTGCTTGCGCGTACCGTAGGAGTGTATTAGAAACAGTGTTTGCGCAGGTTCGAGAACGGCTGAAGAACATGAAAACACTTTCATGAGTCTCGAACATGAGAGAACGGTATCCATGGTAACAAGATGAATTAAATTCATACAATCTGTTACGATAACTTGTTTAGTTTTTACTTCGCTATTAAGCATAATTTTGATAAATTATGACACCGTTTTACTCCTTTTCAATTCTTTGGATGACGATTACATCACCTTTTGATACGCCCTCGTCCGTAGGTTTGTCCGTCGTCTACAGAACTGATTATTTTAAAATTGATATGTTGTTTATTTTAATGAGATGAATTCTATTTAATTTCAATAATTTCTGTTAGTTTCTTCTGGAGTTATGGCCCTTGTTTCACTTTGTGAAATTCATTTGAATCTTTTAAATAAGTGAAACGAAGACGTCTATTAAATTTCTGCGATTTCTGTGAATTATGTCTAGAGTTGTGGCCCTTGTTTCACATTTTCGAACCTTGTGAACGCACGAACAAAAAAATTATCATCCGATTTGTATGAAAATTGTATGCATTATTTAAATTAGTAAAACACAAAACAAAAAAATCTGTCAAATTTCAACAATTAAGGCCCTTGTTTCAGTTTGTAGAACCTTTGTAAACCCACAAACGACAAAAATTATAATCTTGTATGAAATTTTCTTGTAAATTCCCACATTACCTACAAAAGAATGAATATGCGACAATCCCTGTTGACTGCGCAAACGATTAAACTGCTGTGGGCATATGTTTCGTTGCCTGGCAACCTAACTTACTTCATGTTATACTGGCCACATACTACATCCAATTTTCGAACGGTATTAAACTTCTAAATTAATAAATGCACCCATGATGCTGTTTTCTCAGCAGTTATCGATGGGTCGACCTTTGTAAACCCACAAACGACGAAAATTATAATCTTGTATGAAATTTTCTTGTAAATGCTCACATTACCTACAAAAGAATGAATATGCGACAATCCCTGTTGACTGCGCAAACGATTAAACTGCTGTGGGCATATGTTTCGTTGCCTGGCAACCTAACTTACTTGATGTTATACTGGCCACATACTACATCTAATTTTCGAACGGTATTAAACTTTTAAATTAATAAATGCACCCATGATGCTGTTTTCTCAGCAGTTATCGATACGTCGACCATGTTTGTTCTCCCTCACACCAGCTATGAGGTAGTGTGGGATTTGAGAACGGGAATGTGTTCGTGAACGCATTCCAGACTGCTCAAGTCCGACAAGAACCCATTCTCCGTCCGTTCTCTGCACCGGAACACTGTTTCGAATACACCCTAGGGGTATTTAGGAAAGGGAGGAAACCGGAGGACCCGGAGAAAACCCACAAGGCTGGACAGGCGACCCTATTCCTAGTCACATTCAAGTGGGGAATCACATAATAATGGCCTATTTCAAATAAGATATTTGCATATAAAGAAAGTAGGCTTACAGCCTCTTTCAAATGTGATATTTGCATATAAAGAAAGTACAAACTTAAATCGTCAGTGCTGGATAAACTAGCCAAAGGATTTGGCTGAATCAATTGGCGCTAAACTTCACCTAGTTTATCCACTGACATACGCCCGAATCAAACATGTTTGATATATTTGGCCGAATTGTATTTGAGTGGTGTGTCCGCTTCGCCGAAGCATTCGTCTGATTTTAGAATTCATTAGCCAATCACCACTCATTCATATCGAGTGGGTATCGCAAACTAGCAGTCGAACTGTGACACGGGTGCTACAGCCAACAAATTCCAACTACCATACTATCGGCTTAAATGCACGCCAATGGGACCTCAGGTTTTGTGTTCCATTGAAACGACTAGAAATGAAATGAAATGGGGTTTAACGTCCTACTGTTTTGCTCCGAACTGGGCTAATGAAGACAGGCATACACCACACAGTGTGCTATGAGGGAAATTTTGCCCGGACAGCGGCACTGCGGTGTATCGAATTCCAACTGCCAGGGGATCTTTTACATGCACACCAATGTGTAAACGGGACCACGTTTTTTCATTTCATCCGAATGACTAGACAGCTGTCCTTGTCAGGCCCTCCGTCCTGCATCACTAACAAGAGGAAACCACGCCGGAAAATCTGGGTGAACTTTCTCGGCCAATGCAGGGATCGAACACCCGACCTCCAGGCTAGCGAGCCAGCGTCTTACCCACTTAGCCACCATGACGACTAGACAGGGAATCCATGCTGAAAAATCCAAATGAGCTTTCTCGGTCAACACTGGGAGCGACCCCGCAACCTCCCGGGTACCAAGCCAGTGCCTTACACACTGAGCCACATGGCTCTCTTTTAATTACTGTGACTCTCCAGTCACATGACAAACAAGGGTTATTAAAACAGATTTTCAAGGCTTGGGTAAGATCTTCGGGATTAAAATGGTTTTAGATATCACACAGTTTGTATATGGTAAGGTATCTTAAACAGTTAATTACATGTCACATATTCATATTTTTCAGTTTCCATATTAGATGCCATAGCAAATCAAAGATCATATAATAAAATAAGTCAAAAAACCCAAATATGGGAAAAGAAAGAGCTGAAGAAATGGTGATTTGAGCACCTTTGATTTCTCATAGGTGTTTTTGGAGGGTGAGTGTTCAATTCTAATAGAAAAGATTGTTGTTGTGGTATTTTAGAATCTCACCATAATGTGTTTGGCACAATATAGCCCGGTTGGAGCTGATGTGACATAAACCTCGATTTCATTTTAATATTTTGAAATTTAAAATTCAGTTTAGTATAGTAAAACTGTATGTGCACAGACAGAATCTTACTTATGTCCAGATACATGTAGATATGACTATCTCATCTGTGGGGACCCATGGTGACCAAGTGGGTTAGACACTGGTTTGCATATTTTAAGGTCGCGGGTTTGCAGTAAGACGATGCAGTACGGGGGGCCTTACAAGGACAGCTGTCTAGTCGTTCAGATTGAACAAAAAAACGTGGTCCCGTGTACACATTGGCGTGCATGTAAAAGAGACCCTGGCAGTTAGAATTTGATACAAGAGTAGGCCTTAGGGTCACGGTACCCGGCAAAATTTCTCTCGTGGCACACTGTATGGCATATGCCCAACCTCATTAGCCCAGTCGAAGCTGAACAGTAGGACGCCAAACCCCATTTCATTTCATTTTTTTCATTTTGTCTCATCTGTGACAAAGCAAACCAACACATTACAATACAATTTAATTAAATTAAAACTTTCGTCTATTTAAATATTGAATCGATTTAAGTCAACTAAAACATAGTATGTTTTTTTTCTCAGTTAACTACATCAGAAAGATCAAGACAGTTGGAAATGGCTATTCATATTATGGAAACTTTTTCTCACAGAGCTTGATAATCAGGTAAAATGTAAGTAACATACATATTTGTATTTTTAATCATCAACTAGTTCTATACAATTGATTGGTAATCTAGTTATTCTTCTTGGGGCAATGCCTAGGACACTCCTATTCAAGTCTTGGTATTCTTGATTTTTGACAATCACATCCATTGATTTTCTTCAAGTTGTGATAGACCCTATGTGTATTTTTACAGTAAATAGCAGTATAAAAATGGACAATATTTTACTTTTCAAATAGATTTTAATAGGTAATATCCAATTTGTTGTCGATGGAAATAAAATATAATAATCTGCCTGGGTCTGTTACTGGACAAGACACAATAAGTGTTACCCAAAGATGAAACAAAATAGAGACTCAGTCTCGATGTGGCAAAATAAATTGTTTATTTAAACATTGTGAACCATAAATAGTAAGAAAGTATTCTTATTGCCTACTTTTTATTTTTTAGGCTGGAAGATTATTTGATGTATGATAACAACAAGAGATCCCAAGCATCAATTTATTTTATAATTCTGGAAAAGAATGCATTTGACCCAATTTTTGAATATTTTTTTTTGTTTTTACTGTTAAATATTCATCCCAAACACAATTAGATTTTAATTCTCTACAGAAATTTATGTATAATATAGAATGTAAAGTGACATATAAATCACTTAGAATTTGGTCGGAAATCATAAAGTATTTAATAGGCATAGTCTAGAAACCAAATGTAGATCAAATATACCCAGAATTACAAAAAACCTTGACCTACATTAAGGTGACTTTCCCTTGCTTATGAAATGAAATAGGGTTTAATATCCTACTTTTCTGTGTTATTATGGTGATTCTGCACTACAACCTACTCTTATATCAAATATTTCAACTGTCAAGGGTTGTTTAAAGGGAACCCAGGAGGGCCGAATGGTTAACACACGCACATTGGATCAGAAGGGTCTGTCATTGAGTCAGATAATTCAATTGTCAAGGGTTCCTTAAAGTAAACGCAGTGGGGGTAGTTTCAATTCTGGGCTTATACCCAATTATCCCTTGCCATGTCCTACACTACTGACGTATGGGAACTATGTCGGAAAATCCAGTTGAAATTTCTCGGCCAATGCACTCACTGAACCACAGTGGCTCCTCCTTGCTTTTGACTTGTGATTATTTATATATATTTTGTACATATTATTTAATGTTTGCGATTTTCTCTGATATTTTTTTATTTTTCAATCCTGTAATCTTGATGCTTTGCTCCTTTTATGTACAAAATATTCATTTTGTTTGAGGAAAAGGTTCTACATCATTTTATTACTCCTGCAAAATAGTGCATTTTTCTTTTGTTAGTTTTCTGTGTATGCTAGTTATTTCTAGATGCCTCACAAATCACTTGTAATATGACTTTGTAGCACTTTTCAGTTTCTGAAAGTATTTCAATTTAGTGCATAATTAATCTAATTAGGGCTTGGTTTGGATGTTATTAAATTTAGATATATTTGAATTATATATTTTTGGGGTATGGGGTAGGGATCTTTCTTTTCTCAGTTCTTGTTTTCGGGTAAAGAAAAAATTAAATAGCTATTTTGTATTTTGTGATGTGGGGGGGAGGGGGGCAAAGTATAACAAAATTTTTATTAGTATTAGAATTATATCTCTGTTTTTCTGTTAACATTTCAAATGATGTCTATTTAGTTTTGATTTGGTGGTGTTAATTTACTTTTTCCTATCATTTTATGAATAAATGATAATTTAACAAATAAAATTATTGTTACCTCATTTATCAAACTTTACAGGTTAAACAGAGCAAAAGGGGTGAGGGGCTGCATGGGAAAGATTGCTAAATTGAGGGAAAATAAAACACAAGTTTTTGTTGGTGGTTATACACAAGTTTTTATGAAACCACACAAGTTTCAGAAATTTCAACACAAGTTTCAGAAATTTCAACACAAGTTTCAGAAATTTCAACACAAGTTTCGACAGAAGTATTGTGTAGATTTTCACACAAGTTTCAACACAAGTTTGTGTTGTTTGGTAAATTTTAACACAAGTCTTGTGTTGTTTCAACATTTAACACAAGTTTGTGTTGTTTCAACACAAGTTTGTGTTGTTAAATAGAGACACCTAACTTGTGTTGAAAACAACACAAGTTTGTGTTGTTTTAACACAAGTTTTTTTTCAGTGAACTATTATAGCGAGAGCGGTCAGATCTTTATTTAAATCTTACATGATGCATGCACTTGGATGGTAATATCTATACGGGAGATAGTTTTTGATATCTATTTCTTTAAAATGCATATCCGATATAAGGAGTTCATTTAGAATGCCCAACAATGCGATTTGCCAATCGCTCGTTTCAATTGTGAATTTGATATTTAGATCTAAATAATTCATTATTTCTTGCAAATCTGCAATGTCGCCAATTCGTTCTTCGAAATAGAGAACCTTTTCAGTTGATTTTCTAAGTAATTTCTTCAACTGTCTATAGTTTTTCCTCTATAAATCCTATTGTTAAATGACTTACCTGTGGTGCCGCCTTGGTACCTATCGCTATATCAAGAATTTAATCGTAAGTTGTTTCGCCAAATGTACAACTGTTGTTAGTTAGGACCATTCGTATGGCTTTGAGAATGATTTCTTTTTTTAAATTCTTACATGACTGCATGCAGGATGTTTGTCCAACCAATATTTTTTTCGCACGTATACAATGAATGACCATTTTGCTCAGTAATCCCAGCCAGAATTTGGCTATTTTTTTTAAAATTGCGTTAAAGTTTTAAATTTTTGGGGGGAACTGAAATAAATTAACTTTTAGTCAATCCCCACGCTAAAAACATTAACAGAATTGATTGTGTATATCTGAAATAGACACGACCGAAGCACAAAATAGTGCCAAAATGCCGACGTCAAATCTAGAGTTGTGAAAATTCATTGGAAGAAACGATAAGACGTTCTGTACGGATTACAAGTCCTAAAGGCTGCAAGAAGGCTATTGTTTACAATGTAACATTGTGTCTTGTAATGTTGATAATGATCATAATGATGGTGTTTACATTTGTTTGTTGATGTGACCTCATGACCTGTGACGTTTAGATAACGTCATATGGATATCATGGCTATTCACTGTGTCATTTACTTCACTGTGTCGTTCAGATTGTCCTGTCGGTCATACCTTGGAAAATGGCTGCACGGAAGGATATTATTCTAATTCGTCAGTAAAATGTCAAAGTGATTATGTTTATCGTATCCACGTAGTTGTGCCGAACTGAAAGAATGTAACAGCTCCTACGAAGACGGCAAATATTGATTATTACATAATGCTGCATAATGACGGTATCAAGACAGAGTAAAAACGTATTGTTATGAATTAAGAAAAAATAAGTCCTTCGAAATTTATCACCCTTCACTATCCAAATATTGCTTCGCAGTCGATATATACATGTACATATGCGAACAATGAAAGTTACAGCGTATCTACCTATAATAGTCAGTTAAAAATCACACTGAAGGGACTAGGATAAACAACATTCAATAAAATTGAAGCGGTTCTGTTAACTTTAAGAGTAACGAGGCGCATATCAACGTTTGCAAACTTTACATAGTTCACTAAGTTTGGCACAACCCAAGATTGTAGCAGATCAGTCACACAACCGTGTCTTGATCTTAGAACCTTTGTAGTGGATCTTTGAGATACGGGGTTTTTCTGTACTGCCTACCAGTATTTGGACAATATCTGATGACGAGGCAGTGCTTGATATTAATTTTTCTTCAAATAATCAAGTTGTAAATGGAAGATGTGGCGGATCGTGTGGTGGATGCGTTTGTCAGAATTTGTTTATTGAAACGAATGAAACCTTAAAGCCAGATTTTCAGTCTGCTCCTTTTTCTGTAGGCACTGACAAAGTTTGAACACTTTTTCTCAATAAATATTTACACAAAATAAAGATACATCATTAATTAAGCTTTATAAATAGTTACAACGATGTTTTCAGAACATTAATTTTATATGTATAATAATCATTTCTTTAATATTAAAAAGGGCAAACACTGTTTTTTTCTCCATTAATTATTAATTACATTGGTTTGCATCTATTATAAATGGAATGCTCGTTCTCAGATAATCAGATAAAAAGATTAATGGTATTAGGATATTTGAGTAAATAAGATTGCTGTGTTTAAACACAGCAGTTGAAATTGGCCACTGTCTCTTTGGAATCAAGTTGGGTATGCACGAGATAATCCTTTAAAAGTATTCGGCAGTGGGAATTGGGCAACATTTATTCATGCTCTTCAGAACCTTTTGCAATTGAAGTATCTAGACTGTGATACCCGATAATCAAGTATAAAATTCTTCATCAGGTACCATAGGTTTATCCTTGTCATTATACACGTTGGGCATTTTCTTAAGGATTTCTGTTTTCTTTCATTTTTAACATTTGTTTCCCATAGTCACCAGTCCTATTGACGGCGGTCTGTAACCATTGACACAACTTACTTAAGGATTGGCCGATTTAAATTGTTTTGAAACCAATATGGTAAGCTAATTGTGTGCCCCACCCCAATTATTTCCCCGGTAAGGTAAACCCTGATAGGCCATCAAATGAGTTCCATACAGCAATTTTTTTTTTTAAATAGATATCCACAATCCTTTTTTGGGTTCATTTCAAAATGGCATCAAACAGATATTACACGAAATAATGAGTTGTATATTTAGTCTTATTCAGACAAGGCAAAGATACTTTTTCTTCACATTTTGGCTTTTGATTTACAGATTACTGTGATATTAGCCCGATATCCAAGAGATAAAAAATGAAAATTTATATATTTTATTTCCCCATAAATACAAATTAATAACAACTAAATTAAATATCACTAGTAATAGATTGGAAATGGATGAAAGCAGCTCTGTAAGAGAGCCACGACCGTATTATCCCTAAAATTTCCAGTAGCGATATTAATAGATGGCCTATGTACATCTTGTATTTTAATTTTCCAATACTGAACTATGCCGCGCGGGATTGAGCTCAAACAAACGTGATCGAACACCAAAACAATTCCGAACATATACCTTATAATAGCCGAAGTCTAGTGCTGTAACCTCTTCGATCCTTAATATGGACGAAAAGGCCGTGTCATTTTGTTTGGTCCAAAAATCTGTAACCTGTTCCTTTATTCTATTAGAATATTGGCGATACCATGTAAATCTAGCAGGGGGACCAACAAGAAGATGTATTGATAATTCAGCTGTTTGTCCGATCCTAGCAGTTATCTTGTCAACCTTTGTATCTTTGTTCTTTTCCTTGTCCATTCTAGGAAGGCCTGTATGGAATATATAAAGAGAACTATAATAGACAAGGGTAGAGATGCAGGAGAAGGGGTGATCTTGAAAAATCTAGTAACGATTATCACTCCCTTTTCTTTCATTAGCTGCAACCTTCTCCATGGCATGGGTGGCAATTTGTATCGGAACGCCAAAATTGGTTCGTAGTTTATGTAAATTAGCTGGAATTCGGGGATGGGTTGGCTGTCAGATTAAAATTCCCACACCCACAGTGAGCCCTTACCATATATGAAGTACATAGATAACTTAAACAATAAGCAAATCCAAGATAGCAACCAACACTTGGAGCAAAAGGTTCGGTCTGCGTTCCAAAGAACTACTCGTCTTTTTTTTTAGCTATGTCATATCGGCTCTTCTGGAAATACTAAGCATATCCTACCTCATCCATCACCTAAGTAAATAATTTTAGCTAACTGGAACGATGGTTGGGTCTCGATTTCAGAAGCAGTGCATTCAATTAGTATTATAATTCTTTGGTTTACGACAACCTCGGGCCCACAACCCACCAGCAGAGCCATGGTGTCAAATTGTAAGAAAAGAGCTGGGGAAAATACTCACATTTAATATTTAAAGAGATTGTTCTGGATACAGATGAACCAATTCCATTTTTAACAGTACATGTATAATTATCTGTATGTGCACAAGTTGCTACGGGTATAAATAGTGAAGCCTCAGATGAAAGGTATCCTTGTTGAGATCTGGACCAGGATATGTTGGAAGATAGTGAACTGTCAACAGAGCAAGTCAAAGTAACGCTCGAATTTTCCGAAACTATATTGTTGATGGCATCAGATGTTATAGAGACTATCGGTGCATCTGAAAGGTTTTGTTTATCCGTTTAACGAAAATATATTTTAGGAGATATTTTGTATCCATAGCCATAGATTAAAAAAAAACATAAACAACCTAACTGGGAAATACATTTGGTGTCAAAAACATAATATATCTTTCGTGATACCTCTTAGGAAACGTTTTGGACATTCTAAACAAATGCTATCTTCATGTAGTAGATTTACAAGATACTGAATAGCTGAGCACTTGCGTAACGGGTAACAGTGTAAGTGGTGCATGCGCTAAGAAGACAATGGTAGACAATGATTGGCGATCCGTGGTAATTAACTTATTCGATCAATTCATTGTAGTCTTATTAGGTATGTGATTTTTTTAAGTTTCGAGGTCACGAGAAATTTCATTCCATTCAAATTAAACAAATGTTTAGAGAGTCGAATATGTGGCAGCATATCTTTAAGTTATTGTAAAGAGGTTTGTATCTTTCAAAAGATTATTTCGAAAAGTAACATAATGTTATTATATAGGTAAATGCTCTTTTGAAAAATTCATTTATATATGAAATAGATCTCATAATAACTCACGATTAACTATCAAGAGCATCATGTTGGAATTGTGATAAACGGCATTTCTAGCTCGACAGACATATTTCCCCGTCATATTTGTGCTGATATTCAGCATAGTAAGGGTTCCACCACTAGTCAGACGGGTGTTATATCTAGGTCCTCTGGTTATATCAAACCATTTAAAGTTGCATGGCGGGTTACAATCACTGGTACAGGTAACACTTAAATCCTTGCCTTCAATAACCGTTGTAATCTTTTCCGTGTTCAATTTTATAAACTTGGGTCCATCTAAGAATACCACAAATAATAAGATACGATTTATATAACATATCAGAGTTTGGTTTCATTCACAAATCAGTCCTTTCTATCATTGTGATCAGCATTAAATTATCCAAGTACATTGGTATGTTTAAAGTATTTATATTACATTACTATTTTAGACTTTGTTCCGAATCCCTTAAAACTATTGGTCATTGTAAAAGAAAATTAGACTAAATAACTTTTAATAAAATACTGTGAAAACCGGTTAATGCATCGATTATTAATCAATTAGTTGGGAGCAACAACTACTTTTATCGAAAATTCCAAAGTAAATGACTCTCATACTAGAGTAAGTATAAGAAAATGTGGACAGATGGGCCGACCTAGTTACTGTGTGGGCGTATAAAAAGACTAATGTTATACTTACATGCGATAGTCACGTTCATCTCCTTTGTCACCGAGTAAGCACTCTCATCACGACGTTTAACTTTACAGAAAATACGAGTCCCATCTAAATCTCTAGTGACATTGATAAAGGGGTAGTTACCATCGGTGGACAAGAGTCGTTCATCTTCAATAGCCCCTAAGTAGAGGTTTACACTACAAGCTGGGTTACAATTGGCTCTACACGTCACTAACACGGTTTCCCCTTCAATTGCCTCCAACTTTGAACTACCCGTGTAGTACCGGATGCCGAAATCCATACTGCGGTGAGCTACTAGTTGGACATCATCTGGACCATCTGTAAAAGAAGTGACACGGGTAGATTAGATGACATATGCCCAGTCTGTTCCCCAATCCCTGTTACCGATTGTCCTAAATAATAAAAAATGATCCATAGACAAAACACAAAACAAAGACAGAATAGAATAACAATATGGCGCGTACAGTTACAATACAACACAATCATTAATGACAAAGCCATTTACAGATTATTGCACTTTCTTAAATAAGCGACTGGAAACTTTCAAATCATCTGGAAACCAAAATAACATGTTTTAGATATCTAACGATGTTATCGAGTGATAAAGAAGGATTACTATTTAAGAGTGTTTATGTTATTGTTATGGAGCTTAAATTACTAGATCTTCTGATGTGTAAAATCAGTAGCTAGTATGATTAATGATAGATTAATCACAAGAATTATTCCGACTATCACTTAAACTTCTAAATATTTCACTTACAATATACAGGAAGTTGTTTATCGTCACTTTGCCTTTTACATATGATCTTGTCAGTACCATCCGTGATGTTCAAATAGATAAATCGTGTGTTATTTAAACATCCACACATATACGTCGATCCATAAAGTAAGGGTTTATTTCTGGTTATACAATTATCGATCTGATGATCAATTATACAAATTATAGTTGTGTTTCCATTTTTATCAACTTTATAAAATGTAAACCATTGGGGATATTGACTCTCATTTGTATCGCACATTACTTTCCGACGCCCGCCATGTTCCAATGGTCTTGGGTTTATTCGTTGGGCTGTAACACATAAGAGGCATATAAATAATATGTTCACAGATTACATTCTAAATGTTATCACTGTAGTCATATTTTGAAAAACGTGCTGAATTGGTTGGTTTAGATAAATAAATGTTAACAGGACAAATGTATATTGAAAGATATTGGTAATGCCACTTGGTTATATGTTGCCTCATAGAATAGGAACTAACTACCAAGTTATTCATTAGTTCCGTTATAGGAAGACACGGTGGTTCCGTGGCGATCTCGGCGCCCAACTCGGTGTTGGCCAAGACAGCAACCCGGGATTTTACAACCTACTTTCTCATTGTGACTGTCAGTGGGTTTTCTCTGGGTCTTTCGGTTTTCCCCCACTGCTAAAGACACCTACGCACAAGTGAATTATTGAAATAAATTTGAACCATATATTAGTCCCGAAATGATCTAGTGTGTCTCGAGTGGATGTTAAAACCCATTTCTAACTCTCTCTCCAATTGTAGAAATGTTCATTTCATTTTTAAAGTTATCGGGAGTCTAACCACTTGTATTAAAAGGGTCTATATTGAAATGACTAAGCATGACAATGGTTTACAGCTCTGGGAACTCACACAGTTGTAGAAACTGCTTTCTAATTCCTGAGTATTTATTGCAGGCATTTTAATTGAATCAAACGAAAATACATTACCAATTACTGTACAATAAACTTACAATATAGAGGAAGTTGAACATTATCTTCCGACCTCTTACATATCATTTTGCTTGTATCCTTGTCCGTATTGAGGTACAAAAATCTGTTATTATAGCCGTTAGTCCCACATTTGTTTCTTAACCAATCATATGCGCTGAGAAGCTGAGTCTCGCCCCCCCATTTGCCTCTCGTGCGGTTCATCGTACAAAACGACACTCCATTGTTAATAAAGTCGAAGGTACTTGGATATCTACTTCCATATGTATCACATATTAGCGTGTAATTTTCTACTGGCATCCTTTTTGCTGGAAGAAGTCGAAATCTTTTAAAATCTTGCCCTGTAAATTCCAGATACATTTTTTTGAACCAGAGAACTTATTTTCTTGTCTTACGACACGGAAAAATTAATATAGAGAACTAAAGCCCACTCTACACAGTAACACTTGCCCACATCACCATTCACGTTTACAACAAATTTCTTTAACGTCCATTATATTGTACACTTTTTTCATTTCTATTACTACTACTACTATCGGTAAGGCAATGCAAGGCAAGGTAGGCGTATTATACTACCACAATTGTGTATCAATAACATAACTGTTATAGAGAAAGGAGCTTTCAAATGATGTCCCGTGTTTGTTACGGTTTGACCCGGTATTCGGTTTGACTGGTTACATTGTGCCTGGTGTGCATACTATGTATATCTATACCATTTTACACGACTAAAGTCCCACCCGTATAAAGTGTTTATGATACCTCATTGAGGTGTGTTTGAAGTGATAACTTTGATATGAGAAGTGGTCACTATTACCACACGTCCATAGCAAATAGAGGAGACCCACACTTCCCATTCATTTCTACAGCGTATATTTATCATTTAACTTAAACTTCTTGCACACTTCAGCATATTATATTTATCACCCCAGTCAAATTTCGTGAACACGTCAACTGGTACTTATAGAATGTTTTATTAAACCAACAGATTTCTTTTAGAGTCTTGTTATCACTTCAGAGTGTATTTTTACTGTGGTTAAACTTCTTGCCCACGTCAACCTCAACCGAGTGTATTGTCACTACGGTTAAACGTCTTGCACACTTCAAAACGGGTACTGAGTCACACCGGGTAACGAGCCAATTAAATCATAATGGACCCGAATGAAAAACAAAAAAAATGTATGTATGTGTTACTTACTGGATAGTTTGATCCCCACATCTTGTTCGACGGGTAGGGGTTGCGCTAGTGCTGAAGCATAAAGGAAGATGAAGTTTTAGAGATATCAGTAAAGTAATACCAAAAATGATAAACATTTGCACTATAACCCCTTTACATGTATACCTATAAACTTATCAGTCACAAATAAAACAAAGAACAGACATAGGTTAGATCTTAATGTAATCCTGAATGAAAAGAAATAGGGCTGATGAAGACGGATATACGCCATGCATTGTGCTATGAGGGAAAATATTGTTAGGAAAGTGGCGCTTTGGTTTTGCTTACGTGCACCCCAACGTCTATACGTTATTTTGGTTTTTCTAAAGACTAGACGCCCTTTCCTTGCCAGGCTCTAAGTCCTGCACCACTGTCAAGGGGAGAAAACGTCAGAAAATCACGAGGATGTTTGTTGGCCAACCCCGGGATAAAACCGGCAACTCGTTCACTGTCACCGCGAATCCAAAAGGAAATGCATCTAATGGGCTGGACAGTGCCGAAAACTGGTGGCTAGGACGTTAGGGCCGAAAACTGGTAGCTAGGACGTTAACTCCCATATCATTTCGTGCTTGTTGGTATGGCAAATTGCACAGCTGAACATATCTACATGCCCCTTTATGACAACATATTTACATCGACTGAAGATTTTTGACTTACCGCCCTGTGTATTTAAATATGCACACAATAGTAGAATTGAAGCAACTCGTATCTCAACACAAGACATCATCATGATCATATTAACACATACTATAACTTGATGCTTTCTTATACTTAACAACGAGGACAGTAATTAAAAACAGCAAACCTTATCTAGAATAAAAGTTAATTGTCTTCTCTTATTTCTTGACACGTGTACTTTTCCGTACACTCAACCTTTCTTTAAGGTTTCTTTACCATCTGACGCGTTCAACATTATCTGGTCGACACATTAAAATAATTTGTTTTAAATAAACCATTGGTGGTCGACATATATAGTCCTGGCCGATTCATAACTTTCTTATGAACTTAAGAAAACTGCTTCCAGTTCTTTAGGAAAGTTGTAGGTACAGTAAAAAAAGAAGATACTATTTGTTAATTGCGATTATTGATGTTATAGGTACTGTATGATAATGGTACTGATGTTACAGAGATATATCAGACATAGTAGTACATAGTACTGAAGATCCAGAAAATATCAGATCGAGCCCCATTTTTTAAAGAATTAGTAGAAAACATTCGTAGACGAGTACTGTGAAATGAAGGTGGGCTGTTTTAGGATATATATATATATATATATATATAAAATAAATAAAAGATTCTACTCTCAGGTAAAAGTATAGAGAAAAATGAGGTTTTTAGAAAGAAATGCCTGATGATCCGTAGTGGGTGAAAGCGCTAGCTAAGATGAAATTAGTTTTTCCTTTCTAAAAACCTCATTTATATATATATATATATATATATATATATATATATGCATTAATTACAGAATTCTATTTATGCAACATATTGCTAAGGGATCAAATTGTTTGGTTGGAAATACATTTCGTTAATACAAACATTTCTAGAAAAATATACTCTATTGCACGCAATTCCCAGCGACGTACCGTCTGGAGTTGAAACCATAACACTTGACACCATGAACTAAAATGCCCTCGTTCGACCACTGAAATGGTCAAATTAGATTATATTAGTTAAGTGTAATTAATAGGGGAGTGAGTCTTGACCTTGTAATTGGTTTCTTACACGTGAAAGAAATTTAAAATCTAACGCATTATATAACCCTCTCCACCACTCCAGTAGTATCCGCTGTCGCTATATCACAAACGTGAATGCAAATAGCAAAAAGAATATCCTTCGAAATACCTTACTCCACAACAACAGATTACCGGGGGAGGCCAGGTGGAAGTGGAAAAAGATATTTACATATATCAGAAAGAAAACTGGAAATGCCTTCATCGAAAATTCTTCCTTGTTAATTCTTTCGTCCACTCTGGAATGTTCAGAATTTTTGTATGGATCCCTTTCTTCCATAGTTCCCTTCCTGTGTTTCTGATGGGTTAATACGATACGTGTGAAAAGGCTGATTCGCGAATGGACCGATAACAAACCCTTAGAGACATCTTTCTGGCCCATTCCTTGCTGACAAGTTATTTCTACACAAATAACTTTCTTCGTTGAATCCGTGCCTCACCCCATGTAAGATGTTAATCTGTGTGGTTCTGGAATTATATGCCATTGGTGTGTTCAATGCATTTCAAATTGTCATCAGCGCCTTATTACATGATATAATGATATAACTATACAGCACCACTAAAGGTTCTAATTTGAAATAAAAGAGTTGTTATACTTATAATATGGTTAACTTGAGGAACAATAATTATTAAGAGTCTCAAAAGTATGCCTAAAGTCTCGCTTCCCGACATAAGTAGATGAATATGCATATTTTGTACTTTAATTCTTAAAAACGTTATTGTAAGGCGCGGGTATTAGCTCAAATCAACATGACCGAACGCCATACCAATTCTGAACATCGACCTTATAATCTTATAATAGCCGTAGTCTAGTGCTGTGATGTTGTCAATGGCTAATGTGGACGGTAAGCCAATGTCATTTTGCCTGGTCCAAAATCTATTCCATTAGGTCATTGACGATACCGTGTAAATCTAGGAGGGGACCAGGTATAAGAAATATAGATAATTCAGATGTTCCCCCAATCCTAACTCATCTCCAATCAACCTTCATGTTTTTGTTCTTTTCTGTGTCGATTCTAGGAAGGCGTGTGTAAAATATATAAAGAGAACTTGTATAATCTAGAAATACCAACGTAATGGCACAAATGCAGGAGTGATTTTAAAAATAGTCCATATTCAAAAACATTGGATTGGGTGGGCTGCTTGGTTCAGAACACCTGAGTAGATTGATAGGCAGGTAAGTTTGAGAAAGGGTAGGCGTAAAACGTTGTTGTCTGGGAAAAATCCCTAACTCTCGTATAGCACAAATTACCATAAAAATCAAACATATTCCCAATGCTAATTAGTGCCAAAATGGCCTTTTCCATTCCAATAAAATAGTATAGCACCAACAACCAGAAACATTAAACATATTCCCAATGTTTAGTCCCAAAATGGCCTATTCCATTTCACTGAAAGAGTATTGAAATTTATTTCGAGAACAACGAGGAGCATCAGTGAGACCGAACAGCATCTATATGAATACAACAGTACAGTTACAATTTGTTAGATATGTTAGATACGCGTGATCTGGTATAAGTAATCATTTAATGGATCATGCACGATACCCACTAAAATAGAGGCACTAACCATCATGAGAACAGCACCGAGTGTCAATTACTAATCTTAATCAACCCACAGACGCAAAATGCAAAAGGTGCAAAATTGTATTACTCCAGCCACGCATCAACAAGACAACAAAACGCTAGAACAACGAAGAAAATAGCCTAGAAGTCCAGGCCACTTACTCAACAATTGTGTGGTTATTTCCCTTTATATATCTTGTAAGCTATGGTTGCCAAAATGGTGACAAAGCATGGTATAGAAAATAATGGAGTTCAACGTATAGTCAGTATATCTCGACGTTAATACGAGACTAACATGTATTTTATGGTTATTTGTACAGATTGTTGGAGCAAGGTCAATATTAACCGAATGCATTTACGTGCACTGTCAATGTCTACACATATGCTAACACACAGACACACTTATAAGTACAGACAACTCGTGATCTTTCTTCACAAATCTCACGCCGGGATTCGAACCGGATGCTTTCTTAAACACCGCGATATCTATCAGACCGAGCTAACGTCTACTGGAATGTAAAAATGTATATAGGCCAATCAAAGGCCAAACTTCTAACCCGCAGCGGCACTATCATTGGCAATGAATTTCCCTGTATTTATCGTTATGTTTTCTTGACAAGTGGTCATGCTTGATATCAGATTTTGTTTAAACCACAGAAACTGGGTACGATTTCAATATAAGCATAATTGCTGATGCTAATATAGATAGCGCAATATTCATATTTCTTAATTATTTTTTGCCTCAAGCCCTTATTGGGGAGGGGGAGGGGCCGGGATAAATACCCAAACTAGAATAGATTTTATATATACATGAGCCATGCCATACCATACATTGACACTTGGTTGGGTGATTATGATTAAGTTCCCAATGAATAACTAAACGGCATGGGAGAGAGGGGGTGGAAGGCCGCATGGTTAGCAATTGCACGGTGTATGATCATAAGGTCTGTCATTGAGTCAGCTGACGTGCTTTTGATTCCCCGGCTGTACGTGACAAGGAGTAGGGTCGCCTGTCCAGCCTCGTGGGTTTTATCCGGGTTCCCCGGTTTCCTCCCACTACTAAAGACCCCAACGCACAAGCGAATTATTGAAATAAAATTGAACCATATGTTAGTCCCGAAATTACCTAGTTTGTGTCGCGTGGACGTTAAACCCATCTCTCTCTCTCTCTCTCTCTCTCTCCCTCTCTCTCTCCTACTACTCATCGGTCCGTATTGGACAAACATAATTTGACATATTTATTCTAAAATAACTCAAATTCATCATCGTATCCACTGAAACATGTAATGGCCTCAACCCGGGTAGAACATGATCTACGGGTGAGGTGCAGAAATAGTGAATCAAACTAGTTTTCTCGTCATATCGCTAATGGGGACCCAATGAGTCCAGAGCTACCCGCCCATGACAGTTTAAATGCTGGGCAAACTTCGAACTTTTTCAAATTCGACATCAGAGAAAATTGGATACCAGCCACAATCAGTTAGAGAGCGTGATTAGTTTTGAGTATCTCTTGTTCTGTTTGAAACAATGGAAGGGCAGCAGGAAAAGAGAGCACAATATTTTTATTAGTGCAATGGTAATATAGTGACATTGACGCGGGCCTTTACATGAGTATTTTAGGTAACTCTTTCGAAATTCGATGGGACCTTTTCAGAAATGATCGCACTTTTTCGGAAGCGAGGGTACATGGCAAACATACCCCTATACCCTGATGGGAAATCTCAACGGATTCGAGCGTTATCAACCATGTCCGGATTATTTTTATTTTGCCTTTATGAGGGCAGGTTAAGCGGTTGCTGGGTACGCCTCTGGTATTATCTTTAGTAGGTGACACCCTATCCACATGACTAGTCAGTGAATGACAGTGACATTACTAAATTGAAGCCATACTTTTGACACGATCTTGTATATTATAAAACAATACATCAGCAGCGAAAGTTACAGATGGCCTGTATTCAACAATATGACAAGTTCCTCACTTGCTATGTTACAAATTTGAGATTCGTCTTCCCATTGCTCCAATTTACTTTAATTCTTGGCACCAATTTTATTGTATTTTCAATCCAAATTTGATGAACTATGCAAATTAATTTTGTTGTGCTATTGTAATGGTATGCAATTTAAACTTCCTGTATTACATCTTTGTCTGATTTTAAAAAGAAAGAAGACACAAATTTCCCCACAAATACAATATGCGGATATTGGATAAACAGACATGCGGTTATATGTCTTTGGTGTGCAATGCGAGATATAATGTACCTGATTCATGATCTTGTACATGCATAGAATATACGCATTAGTCAGTTGTAATTAGTGTTGGTTTTGGGAGTGCCCAATCCCGATCTCTGTTTCAAAATATCATGTTTTTCTTACATGACACCTGGAACCAAATGGAATTCGTGAGTTTTACACCCTACACCCACGACTTTATACCCCGGATCTATATATCACCAGTATTAAACCGAACTCACTCTTAAAATTAGTTTCCGTTACACTGCAAACATTATAATCAAATCCATTGTCCATTATGCGATGGATATTATACCTATTTTCACGTTCCAATCGCTCCTTATTAATACGTGAGTAATATACACTGTAGGGAGAAAATGGTGGGATCGCTATAACCGCAATCACGATCGTGGATCAATGAACAGACGTTACTCGAGGGAATAACAAAGTTTGCCGTTACTGTGTAATGTGCCTGTCTGCAGGAGCCTGCACGACGATAGCTGAATCTGTTGTTAGGAGGTGTTATTTAGGTTCCAATTTTCAAACACGTGTAAGCGTAAGAGACTAAATATTTTTTTTTAGTCATCGCCTAGTACATTACTAATCGTTTTTTGTAACATAGAAACTGTCTGCCTGTGTGCGTTTACTTCCCGCTGTTTAATGGATAACATATATGTATTATTGAGGATTATTTCACGTGCGTTTGTGTTTCTTATATTGTCGCCATATCGTGGAAAATAAAAATGATCAAATAAGATCAAAAGTAGTAGAAAACTGGGATTTAGTGATGCGAAAGGGTGAAAATGGCGAGTGATTTATTTTGGATTAAACTTCCTTGTTTGACATGTATAATACTAGTCTGGACAATTCTGCCTTCTTCAATGACAATTTCTAGTGATAGACGAGCTTATAATATAGGTAAGTTAAGTATGTTACTTTACCGAACGAAATAATTAAAAACTAAATGGTGGGGGTTCTTAGATATATGAATGCTTGTCAAGTAGATTTCTTCTTTCTGAAGAGAATTGTTAATTATGAAGACAACTTCACGGTAAGAGGTATCTTTTGATGATATTCTATAGGTGTGGGATATCATTTTCTATTTTTGTCGGCGTAATAATTATTTACTTATTGATGTGGCCTTTCATGCATGTGACATGGGTTCGTATGAATAAGTAAATGAGTGACGAGTATCGTACACAGAGTGCTGCGTGTGTAGTCTTACAATACAAATTAATGATAATTCCTATTCAAAGACTGACTCCATCTTACTAGTGTTAACCCAAGGTGATCTGTACCAAAGTAACATCGACTTCAAACAACCACAAACCAAGGAATTTGCCCCCTCCTCTCCTCAAACATATATTTAACATTAGTATTGACGAGTATCATGTACAAAACATGATATAGTGTATATGCACTTTAAACATGCAACAGATTACTCCTGTTGATAAGATTAGTTTCAGTCACAATGATTCAACAAACTAGTTTCAAGTTTGAATTTCGTTTGTACGTGACAACGAGTAGGGTCACCTGTCCAACCTCGTGGGGTTTCCCCGGGTTCTCCGATTTCCTCCCACTGCTAAAGACCCCTATGTGGAAGCGAATTATTGAAATAAAATTGAACTACATGTTAGTCCCAAAATGACCTAGTTTATGTCGAGTGGACGTTAAAGCTAAAACTTGTGATAAAGACATTCGATTTGTTGGTGTCATCTGCTCATATTTGACCTACTACCATATGATATCGGCTTCCGAAGGCTAGTGAGGTTTGATAATCGACCCGAAAAGGGTGACTTCAGTCTAATCCGTATCCCTCTACCAGCAATTCTTATCATCCTGAATGCAATTTCTCCGATACTTGAAGACTTTTTTGAAAGAACGCCAGTTTGATATGACACGGGATTAAAAGAATCTAAAACAGAAGTATAGATATATATTTTTAGAACATTTCAGAACTGATTTGTATACATAGTAAATACAATTGTTCATAAAAAAAGAAACCTTTGGGAACACCGCGCACACTAGGGGAAGACATTCTGATATTTTAAGTTGACATTAGCACACTTGTGGCGAGTTGGCATATGAGACTAATGTCTTTTTGAAGCCGGGATAGCAGTTCTTTGGTGGTCTGTCGTGTCGAAAACTATGAAACATGCCCCTTATAGACACACATCTTTGTTTTAGCCGGCTTTCTCAGAATCTTAGATAAAAATGACAGATTGCACATCTTTGAGAGTATTTGGATAAAAGCGTTGTTTTCCGAGTTAAGGAACTGTACCGTTAAGAAGGTTCTTAATGATGATACTGGTGACAGATGGTAGCCCAATTCTGATCGGATAACATAAACATTTTATAATTACACACAAGCAAAAACTCAAATGGTGGGGTGGGGGTGGGAAACTGTAATTTAATTCAATAAATAGACAAGTTTGGCGAGTAAATCTATCGGACATTTAAAAGGGAACAATAATATAAATGGCAATACATGTATTGTGCACTTGAATAATAATCAGGAAAGTATTTTCTGGTCTTCAAATAAGAGAAACGTAGATAGGTTGCTGTTGCTTTTGCTGATCTGACAAGGTTTGAAAAGTCCCTTTCAGAAGTGTTATCATATGTGCACACTGGGCGACCTTTTGTTGCGGAAATTGTTTCAAAATACCATGGTGAACTAGGTATGATTAGAGACCTATGGGCAGGTATAATCGGGTTGTGCAGCATTGTGAAGAAAAGACCCGACAGAAATTTATCTGTCTTCAAAGGGATTTTTAAAAAGTTTTCTTTTGTGTCACTTTACAAAAGTCTGACAAAGATATTTCTTTGATATTCCTATGCGTGATTTTTTGAGATGCCTTTACTGGTCTTTAAAAATGTATCTTCTCTAAATTAATTTGGAACAATGTTTTCAAGAATATGGATTATAAATAGCTAATAGCTTCATTATATCTTCTCCAGTTTGCCTGGGCAATCAAAAGGAGCAGCTAAAGCAGTATAAATTGATAGACTGGCTGATGATGAAATAATGTTATCGTGATTAATTAAACCGGTTATTACTTTCTTATTTCAGGAATTTTGCAGCCATCCTTATTTGATTTGATGGATGTTGTTTTTGAAAAGGTAGAGAATTCATCGGGTCAAACCCTTAACCGAATACAAGTGTTAGATAATGTCAGGGAAAACTATCGTGGATACAGAAAAGGTAAGATCACAAATAGAATTGACTTTGAAGCCCAATTTAATGATAATCGCAAATCTCTATAGTCATGTGAATGCGTTTTTAAGTTTTGAACCTCTTGCCAGCTACAATATTGTGAAAGTTAAATATCGGCATTTACAAAGATATGACGAATTAAAAAATAAATTAGCATTCGGAAGACGATAACAAGGACGGAAGAATACTCAAAACAATCCAGAGCCACTTATTCTCAATCTTTGACCAAAGACTTCTATGCTGTTCTTTTTGGCTGGAATGCCCCGACAATTAATAGTTACCGGATGCGTTAACAAAATATGTTGCTACCATTAAGGTTTTAAAAATGTTCTCTTTTGTTCTAGCTCATCAGCGATATGTTTAAAAACACATATTCATAAACTTATCCTCAGTTTCACCGGATTACAAAAGTTTTGAAATCGAGATAACTCTGGAAATGAAATGAAATGGACGGGTCTAATGTAGGTCTTGGACATAGCTACTTGATATGACTTTGCTCAGAGATTGGCCAATTATTTTGTTCGGTTGGGCTTGTGCCAATTCTGCATTTTATATTTATAACGCTTTTAAGTGGTTTAAACATGTGATATTTGGAATAGAGAAGTTAGAATATAGTAAAAACAGAAAATATCCGTAAAATCTAAATATACTTAGCAATATTGAAAATATTGTTAATCATTTCTGTTCGGTAACAATTCATATTGTCATGTGTCATAAAATCGATTAAATAAATATATTTGTTGTTTTGTTAAATGGAAATCGTTAATAATGATTTCTCAATCATATGGTTAATAATCAAAGCTCTAAGGATATTTTACGTGTAATGGTTCTACGTAATAAAGTAATTAATTATTTAAGAGTTCCTTATCTGTGTTTATCTCTGTAGTTACAGGATCATAATAGGATGAATGGCTCCCTTCTTTACCATGTTAATATGCAAAAGATTTTATTCTTATATATGCTAATATATAAATGATTGTTTTAAACTAATCTATACTAATATATAAATAATTGTTAGCTTATCTATTTAACATATGGCAATTAGTCAATGAATTTTACTTTTTATGGGGAACTACGGGAATATATGAACAGTTTATTGAATTATATCTCTGAGTCGAGATATGTTGTCCGTAAGCTAACGATATCACTGTTGCTAGTCCAGTTATCATTGGAGATTTCAATTCACTACGACTAAAGCCAGGCTGACACTTGCACGACTTTTGGCCACGATTTTGTCGTGGCAAGTCGTGCCCATTTTGGGACACGAACTGGGAGGCTCCCGCACTGTTCACGACTAGTTCACGCATAGTTCACGACGAGTTCACGAATGCGTGCCCATCAGTGTCCACGTTGACACGACGAGTTCACGCATAGTTTGCGCATTGTTTACGCACTTCTCGCATTGGCACGACGAGTTTGAGCAATTCGGACGGTGTCGTGCCGCAGTAGTCGTGAACTAGTCGTGAACTAGTCGTGAACTATTCGTGGCACTTCGTGACAGTCGTGGCATGGCGCGCACTGTCACGCATCCTCCCGCGCATCTTCCCGACGAGTTCACGAACAGTTTGCGCAAAGTTCACGACCCGGTCGCTAAATTTTGTCGTGACCAAAATTTTGAACATTTCAAAATTCTCGTCCCGACATGGCACGCAGTCACGACGGGTTTACGCACACTTCACGCCAGTTTACGACTAGTTTTGAACATTTCAAAATTCTCGTCCCGACATGGCACGCAGTCACGACGGGTTTACGCACACTTCACGCCAGTTTACGACTAGTTTGCGCACTGGCACGACTCGAGTCGTGCCAATGCGTGCCACGGAATCGTGCAAGTGTCAGCCTTGCTTTAGAGTGTAGTGCTAGCATTCGCACCGAATTAATCTCGCCAGAATAGCCCAGAACAATGGTCCGCTCTTACGGTTAAACTATGTGGAGAGTCACTTCCTAACGCACGTAGTATCAAGCACGTGGATGTATTATTGGATGGGAATCTGAATTCGAAGGAACGAACTCTATCGGCTTGCCGATCAATAAGGTCTAGTTCAAGTGCCCTTTTCAAGAAAGGGCTGTGTCCACTTGGCCTTACTCCGACTGTGTGTTTCAACGAATTTGTGTATTTCTTTCACCACTTGTCCATGGTATGGCTCTGTACTATTTGTAAATACAAACTGTAAATTGTCGCTCTGATTTTCGGAATAGGCATACTACTGATTATTAATATCTTCACATACTAACGTTTTCAAAGCCATCGAACATCTCATTTTATGATTTAATTAGGTTGCTAGTAAAATCAAATATATTAATCAAAAATCAAATACTATCAGGGTAATTTGGATCTGTTAAAATTACCTTTGAAATGTATAAAAAATATTCTTCTTTTCTTTCTTTTTTTTCCCTGAAAAAAGTGCTTCGTTTCTAGTATTTGGTTGATATAATTACTAAATAAAATTATGTTCTATTTGTTTCATTTTACAATAATATCCACATGTTATATAATTCTCTACATCAACACATTCCTATTAAATTCAAAGAGGGTATTGGCTCTTATCAGATGCTGTTATATCATCTGAATCTCTTTATTGTCGTTAAAATCTAAATGATATCCTAAACTGTTACTGTCAACACAATTTGCACACAAAGCAATTGGAAGCTGAAAGACTTCCATAGAAACATCAAAACGATCGCTTTGCTGCGTATGTCACTCGCAATTTACCAGGACGATTAAACGAAATTTGCCTAATTTAAATTAGCTGTATGAATCAACCTGTTTTGGCCGAAGTCAACATAAATATTTTAAATTCTCTTGGGTAGAATATAAAATGAATCATTAATAGTGATTTATGCTTTTAACGGATGTGTTCAAATTTGTTGGGAATAATGATGATCATGAGAGATAGAACCTTATCGATTGTTAATGTTCCGCGATTTTGCGTTACGGAGTTATTCCCCTTTTTCCAAAAACCCGGTGAACGCGATAGAGGCTATAACTTTTTACAGATTCTTTTAAAATTAGAACCCTGTTGATATTCGGTCTTCTTCAATACTCAGTTCAAGAGTTGCCTCACCCAAAAACCTTTTGAGCACAATAGAGGCTATAGATGTGGCAATCAGAAGACGAGCCCTATCGATATTCAGCATTCTGGCACTTCAGTTTCAAGCTTATCTCCCATGATACCATATTAACCCATTGGCTTTCTTGTAATTAATTTTATTTTATATTTCTTTATATTTCAGTGTTTTCTGCAACCAAGAGTCTAGATACTGTATTGGGTCCTTACAAGAAAGCGTATGCTATAGCAACCGAAAAATCTAAAATTCCATTCCTCGTAACATCGATAACTCCAGCACAACAACGCGAGACGCCATTTTTAATTCAACTTTTTCCTGATGCCACCGTGTTCGCTGATGCGGTTCTAGATATTGTTAATTACTATCAGTACACCTCTATAGCTGTTATCTATGACTCCATAGAAGGTAAGAAAAAGCTCTTTAACAGGCCTCTAGTTCACAAAATTCAGGGATTTTCACATTTCCGTCCACGTTTTCAATTTCCTGGCATCAATCAACTACAAGATTTCAATGTAGTATTTCCTGAACATCTACTTAAAGGATTGTAGTAATTATTCGAGTTTGCTTTGTGGATGATACATTAAGGGGTTGTGGTAATGTTGTCACTCAACATCTTGATTCATATCTACTTCACAAATTCGTTGCTAGATATTATATCATACCTCCTACTTTCCGGCCCCAACCGACTACTGAAGACGGGCATACTCGATGCAGTGCTATGGGGGGACATTTTGTCCAGAGAGCAACTGAATTCCAACGGTCAAGTGTTCTTTTACGTATACACCGGAATAGATTATTTCACATTTGAGAGTATTTCAGCTTACAAACCCTGGATTCATGCAAAGGATTTTAACCAATGTCCCTAATCATTCTATACGATATCCCAACTAGAAAGAAACTTTTTACAATTCTGAAGTGACTGTTTTGGATTGAAACGAAACAATAGGTCGGGTTTGTTTGCAGACGCTGATGTTACGATTTGTAATAAGAGTAAAAGACAATTAGTTATAATCATCGAGGTATTTGATTGTGATTTGAGATATTAGTAGAGCTAGCTATAAATCACTGGATATCACTGGATAAAGATATCCTGTTATGATGACCTACGTGTTAAAACATTATACACTTCAATCATTATCTGACTAATGGCAGCACAAAATGATTAATAAATCATCCAAATAATGGTGTTCCTATCATGCATCTGTTCGTGCTAAACATTGAATCTCCAACATGCCAGTATAAAGGGTCAGTGTTATCTTTAAAAACAACAGTAAAAAACAACATGTTTGTCCAAAAATTCTTCAGATCAATGAAATAAAGTAATAATAATTCTGATGATAAACACATAGAGTTCATATTTTAACTTGTATTTGTTTGTTTTATGTTACATACATTTAGCAAGAAACTCCGTTTGATTGTTAAATTGGTAAACTTTTCTTTAAATTAGTATTGGCAAGTATGCTTTGATCTGCACACTTCTGATTATGTTTATCGATATTAGATTTTACTGGAATTCAAACCACACGTTTCTTAAAGCATTATATATAAATTTGTACATTTTTATTCCCTTTGCTTGAATCTGGTATGTGATATCCAAGAGATCTCTGTTTCGTAAAATTTAAAATTAAATTTTAAATTTCAGGCGCCGTCGTCTTAGAAAAACTTCTAATGCAACCATCAAAAGAAGTAACATCCATTAAAATTAATGATTCAGTTACAAGCCAAGTGAAACAAGAACTAAAGGCAATCAGAGACAATAGATTTACCAATTTTATTATCATATGTAAAAACAGGACCATTGCTGACCTGGTTCTAACCGAGGTGAGATATTACCCGGACTTATTGAAACTTGAAATTAAAAGTTTATTAATACAATGTCATATAATAAGACACATCAGAATCCAGAGACAACTCCTTCGGTATAATTTCAATTAAATCTTTATGTGGTATCTGTTCTTGGTCTATTCTTATTTCATAGGCACTAAACCTCTTTGATTGAGGTTAAATTATAGTATATACGTACAGATTGGAACACAGGGGCGGGCGGAGTGGGAGTTGGGGCGACACGTAAACTTCAATTAAAACAACAATTTCGTTCGACTCACATCAAAGTGTCCCAGCTTGTTAACGCCACTGCGTTTGGGTACAAATATTACTATATTACCTCTAATGGACATATCGTAAATAATTAAATATAATCTTTATTTCATTATCTATAGGGACTACGATTGAGTATGTTTTCCCGTCCATATACCTGGTTGCTTGTGAACATGGTAAGTCTATGTATTGTGAGAAATCCTTACATAAAAACAAAGAAATGGACCTTTAAACATTTCAAAAATTTATACATTAAAATTTAACCAAATATTAGTTATAAAATGAAATGTATTGAATTTGGGTTTAACATTCTACTTTATTATCTGTATTTTTTCAAGCACATTATCTAATTAATAGTTTATTCACTTTCATATATTCCGATAATGTTTTATTCACATTAAGCATTCCATTCTGCTAGATACATTTCTTCATTGTCAGGAACATTCTTTTATAGTTTAGTCACATCCCATTAATTAAAAAATTCCAATTATAGTAACAGCCTTTCCCAGAAGTCACATCACAAATAGCATTCCATGTTTTAGAAACGACCATTTATTCAAATCTACCACTCCCGTTTGCTCGTTTGGTCCCACCAGAAACTTTCATCCTTAAAGAACACCTTTCAAATTGTACAAATAATCTATTCATTAAAAACCGCAAGCAGCAGAATAATGCATTATTGCATTCTATTAGAGACATTCCATTCTATTGAGTTTTCCTACGTCACTGTGACCCATGTGAACTCGGTACTCTAAATATTTTTTAAAGCATACGGTTCTACTTGAAAATTAATTAAACTATTTGTTCGCCAGCTTACCTGTTTTATCATTTTTTAATTTTCCAGGGCTTGGAAGAATACGACCTTGAGAAATATGTTGATTCAAGGGTCAACATGACTATTGTTGCCATTACTGCTGACCCAGGATCTCCATCTTGTATTCTTGGTGAAGATATAAGTTTAAAACGTGCTGTATTATCAGATGCCCTACAGGTTTATGTTAACCTACAACGAAATTTGAACGTTTCAATGAGAAGTGCAGTGGGAAATGTAATTATCTTTACATTTTAATTAATGGGAATCATAAATTATAGAAATTATAGAGTATCCATATTATTATTAAATGTATGATTTGATCGAAATTATTCTGTCTAGATGTTAACTGCACTTGCTTCTGGTTTGCAAACAGTCACATGAAGTGGTTTATAAATGAATTCATACATTTCCATTAATTCGGTAAAATAGTTTAAAGATCAACAGTCTTTTATTGGTAATTGTGCTTTTATATATTTTATAGCTTGACCTTCAAGGATGTACGGGTCATCTGAATTTTACAGAATTTGGTAAGAGATCAGAATTTTCGTTACGACTGTTGGAATTACGTAATTACAGATCTGGAAAGGTAAGGACATACATATATGGATGATAATTCAGTCAGCGATTATCAAAGATGTGTTTACAGAATATCGGGTCATAGAAATAAACAATAAGGATTATGTTGATTTGTTTTGTGGGATAAAAATGTCACGACTAAAATGCCAGTAAACAAACAAGCTGTCAAATCACCAATCTAAATAACCCATAATATCAACTTTATTTAATAGTTTATTGATATAGTTCTTTTAAACATATTTATGATTAACATTATTTTTTCGTTTTGTGTTTAGGACAATGCCTTTACCACTTTGATTTAGGTCAGTGCAGTCTTGACCTTTTATATTTCCTAAAATGAGATCCTATCTCTGTTACCATGGTGCGCTGCAATGCTAGAAATAATGGTTTTAATTTACAATAGATTATGTGATTTGAGTTATTTTTAAATGAATTAGCCAATCTAGTAGTATAAATTTCGATGGCGAGTACTCCTTTTCGGTTTTCAATGGTTTAACCAATTGATATTAGTGTTTAAAGAATTGAATGCGAAAGACGAAATGACAGGACATAGCTGAATGTATTATATAAAAGAATTGGGACAGTCAATTATGGAAGACCAAACAGCTCTTTATTCAGTGTTCTTAACTCTTTGTTCTTAATTCATAGTCATAAATTTTTATTTCTTCATTTGTTGCGACATGTGTACACTGAAATTAACATTGGTATCTTAAAACCATTATTTGTTTTACAAATGAGACATTTGTCATATCAGATATGTAAACTGTATTTGTGATAAATTTAATTCTAGTTTAATATACAGCTATAATTTATTTTCGAAAATCAAAAGATTAGCCTACGTTTACATTTTATCGGAGGCATACAACTAAAAACCAATCTCAAACAACAAATTTCTAAATACAAAACTCAAAATACAAATCTTGTAAAACATACAATAATGGGGAATCGAGCAAGCATATATACAATAAGAAATATCGCTCGATGACCGTGACTATAGTGAAACCATAAATGAACTTTGTTTTCAGTGGTATTTAGTGTGATATCTGGAATTTTGAAGTATGACCCTTTTTTTGACGTTTCGACCCCCATCCCCCATCACTTGTAGGCCTTACTATCGGACAATTTGACTTTTCGAGCAGACGGGTAATGTGAAAACAGAAATTATTATTTCATCTAATTGGCAAAATAAAGTTCCCGAAATCTAATAAAACATTAATTTTACTTTTCTGTTAGTTGAATACTACGAATTTGTACTGATTTGACTATGGATTAAAACATCTTGTCTGGAGCCACTCTACTTTGTGCTTCATTTTTCGGACTGTGAATTCAGCTGCAACAGGCCGATTGGATGGTTGGAATTCAGATCGGCATATAGAGGGATTTCGGTTGCAAAACGATCTGAAACTTGACGTTGCTTAACTCATGGGCTAGAATAGCAGAAAAACGCATTTGCGGCGGTTAAATTTTCAAAATTTTCTCGGGAAGAGCCAAGCCCCCGTGAACTGTAAAAAATTGATTAGTTGATTGAAATTTGAGTCGGCTAAGCTATATTAGACCATTTTGAAGTTGCTGTATTCACGGGCTAGAATAGTAGGAAAACGCGTTTGCGTCCTCCAAATTTCCTTGGGGGGGGGGGGGCCTTCCCCTCTCGCAAACGACCGGCGCCGCCGTTTGTAACCCGAATTCTTTTCAGGTATTTCAGGTTCTGCCCCGTAACATTCATCGAGCCCATACGAATATGGGTGAATTTAAAAACTTTAAGCCATCTGACTGGGCCGTGGGGCACTGGCCCTTCCACGTTACGTTTGAGGCTACCATCACTCTCAGGGTATCCTCGGCATGTAATCGGGGTCAAATCCGGGACTGTAGAACTCTACAGTGATGGTGAGTGCGCCAGTGTCCCACTCTCCCGCCAGTTATCAAGCAAAGTGTTCTTGCATTTTGGAATTTCCTAAGTTCAGTGAACAATTCTAGCTTTAAAACTGCAGTCAACATTTTGCCCTATGTCGGGATTAAGGCGAATATTTTGAGAAGTCAATAGGGTATAAGGGCTAATACATAAATATCATAAATAGTATACAACGTCTTTACTTGGATTATCTGCCTTCAAAAGGAATATATACTCATATTTGACAAGGGAGTCAAAGTTTAAGACATTGGTTATCTAATCTGGAAGTCTCATGTTTGAGAAAGTTCATCGAGATCGTCTGAACTCTATTTAGTAAGGGGCTCTTAATACGAAATTTCAGTTATTACCGGAAAGTATTTTTCTATCGCTCTTTGAATATAGTATTTGTTATGTCCGGGCACATTCATGATTACATGATTTAGAAGAGATAAAATCCTCTTTCGTTTGTGCAAAGAAATATGTCGCTAAGAAAAAATAACCTAATTACTTAAAATAGACTACTTTACGTTTATTTTATAGATAAACATAATTCTACGGATTAGCCATTCAACGCTCGTGATTTCACTTAAAGTAGCTAAGTCTCTAACTCAATATCATCCAAAATCTTCAACATTGAAAACACAAATTATTTGTCAATTTAAATCAACATTGATGCTGTGATCTTACCGAAAAAAGATGGGCTTCTGATATCCAATATTTAAGACAAAATAAACATTTGCCATTGGTACACGAATCGTGTACCATAATGCGTTTCAGCCCCAGTTCTAGCAAGAGACTCGAGGAACGAGGCTAGACATATTGCACCAAACCAAACGGCGTATGTAGACTGGAATAACCAGGCGCTAGAAATTTGCATTCGATTGAGACTGCGGGCTTATTTCGCGGAACATAACTGATTTGAAATTAGAGTAAAAACGGAAACCATTGAATGTATATCAGTTTATATACATTCATATTACAGTATTATATGAGTTGCGACCCACTTGTGTCAATTTCTAGGTGCCAAATGTTAGCGATTTAGCTCCTTTAAGTCACGGTCATCGAGTGATTTTTGTATGCTTTCTCGATTCCCCATTATTGTATGGTGACTTAGTGTATGCCAGAGTGATTTCCGCTCATGTCATAGTGTTCCAGTTCGGTGAAATTAGAGATATGTTTTGCATGATTTGTATTTGAAAAACTATATTTGGAAATTTGTTGTTCGAGATCAGTCTTTCGTTGTCTCTCTATGAAGAAATGTAAATGTAGGCTATTATTTTTATTTTCAAAAAATAAATTTTATCTTTATATTAAAATACAATTAGATTAAAGAAAAATACATTTTACAAATTTGATTTGACAAATGTCTGATTTGTAAAACAAAGATTATTTATAAGATACACATTTTAATTTAAGTGTACAAATACGACAACAAATGAAGAAATAAGAATTAAGGACTATGATTAAAAATTAAGAACACTGAATGAACAACTATTTGGCCTTCCATAGTCAATAGGAAATAAAATGGACTTTAGCGTCCTACTGTTCTGCTCCGACCTGGGCTGATGAAGACAGGCATACGCCATACAGTGTGCTATGAGGGACGTTTTGCCCGGACAGCGGCACTACGGCCTACTCTTATATCGAATTCCAACTGTCAAGGGATCTTTTACGTGCACGCTAATGTGTACACGGAACCTTGGTTTTTCGTCTCATTCGAAAGACTAGACAGCTGTCCTTGTCAGGCCCTCCATAGTCAATAGGTATTTGCCAATAGGAACCATTGACACAAATGGCTTTAGCACATCCTTGACCATTGTCATTTTTAGGCGAAGACTCTAATCTAGAAAGATGGAGATGAATAATGGGGCGCATATAATCTTCTACTGTGGAGTAGATCGATGAAACAGCTTTTTAGTTTCTGATTTATCGACATTCGTTAGAACGGAAACAAGGCGATAAGCATATAATTGCCATGGCTTTATCTACATATATTCATTTTCATATTCCTTTTAACATTTACATGCATATAGTACATAGAGAGAGATGAATTTGATCCGCTTGATCGTTTAGTTTAATTTCTTTAGATCTAATTAAAGATCATAAAGAAGGCGTTATCGAAAACATCGGCACATCTGTATTAAGACACATATAGGGGACGGTGTACTATACATGTGGCACATTAAGAACAACATGATAACTAATAACAAACAGAGGTCGTTAATTAAACGTATGTATACAGTGTATGTGATGTCTGAATTATATTAATAGTGTATAGATTTAAAGGGTGCACTTTGACGTAAAGTGTGTAAAGCTAATAAACTATAATAGTATTCTAACACACCTTGACTTAAAACTATAACAAGTACACACACATCAGGTGCAAGGGGTAACATATGGTGCTTCATGGTGTGATATTACCTATAATATTTCTTCTTCGCAAATAGAAGAGAATCTAAATTGGTCGTAAGCGTAAACGAAGAAAACGTAGTACTGTATCTTCTGAAATCGGGGTTCAAACTACCGGTTATGAGGCACTGTAAAATAATCTATACCACGTATCTCTTTGTTATACTGCTTTATAGTTACATTTAAAATAAACAAACATAAAAAGACGTTAAATATGTTTCTTAAATGCGAAGTGGCATCAGATTTTCCAGAAATATTACGCAACTGCCAATGATTGATGTATGATGTGGATAAAGTAATTTGTAATTCCAACTTTTCGTTTTCTGAGACTTATTAATTATACTATAGATAATATAGTGTTAATTGACCACAAAAGCCCGAGCACCGTTCTAAAATTAGGAATGCGTTAATAGTAGCCAAATTGGAAACAATATGTTCATTATGGCGTATCATATTACTTACGAACATGAAATTAACTTATCATTTCATTCTGTGTCTGTGTAACTGCCTCAATGGGGAGTGTAGAAACGATGATGAAATACACTGATACATCAGAAGACTGTTGCAATTTTCTTGCAAATAACCACCAGGATAACCGAGGTACAAATTGTAGTCACGTTCACTCATCCTACTAAATTTCTGTTCGGCACCCAATAGAGTGGAATGTGCAGAAAAGGGGCGAATTACTTAAAATGATATTAAATGGTTAATTCACTCACCGGACGTGCCTGGTAAAACTGTAAGGGGCGCATTTATACCCTCGCCCCCACCCCAACTATGGCACCAATAACCACACATAAACTCAATTACATTACTGAAATGTATGGCAAGTCAGAATAAATATATTTTATAAATATAGATAACGTTATATTGAAAAATTACGCTTACATCCCACCCAAAACCAAAAGTAGACAAACAACCATTTGTTCATATCTCGGACGTGTTTTTTGTACGAGAAGAAATTAACCACAAAATTTATATTTTAATATAAATATTTTGCGTAACAGGTGTGACACTATGACACCCATACCCTTTTCCTATAACAGACTATTAGATATTATGTCAGATCGCACTGAACTGGAAAATGAGATAATTTATTAACGGGTTATAATTAAAGATATGTCCCCCTCCTCCAGTTTAATTAGATCATTTATTGAGACAGAAAACATAGTTTTAACTAAAAGTATGATATTTTTTAAGACCTATGAAAATATAATTAAAGACAGTGCGTGACTAGTAAATTCAGAAAAAATAAAATAAGAATACATTCCTTAAATGTCAACTGCAAGTTTGCCAGAGGACTGTTTCCCATTTCGTATATCGCAAAGTGACGACTGTAATCGTAAATGGCGGTATAAACATTGATTGGGGGAGTCCCATTTGCCGCTAAAAAGATATCGTGATTTTAGCATTTGATATATTTTCCAGTTAATGGTTGTGGAACAAGGGTCTTTATATATATCTTTAGTTTATGTCTATTTTAGGCTGGTTCCTGGACAAGCGTTGAAGACAGTTTCAAGAGACGAGTAAAGCCCTCTCAGTCTTATAGTATTTCTAGAGGTATGGTTAGTGGCAATGTATTTGACAGGCCAATCAGAATAACAACTAAAATAGTAAGATATTAAGGTTATTTTTTTTATTAATATCCAGAAGTTAATTTTCCTTCTTGACTGAAAAGGTGCCGCATTAAAGATTGTTTAACTTTTTCTGATATTATTGTTGACTACCTAAAAATGAAACTATCATATCGATCGACGATGTGTCGTTCAATCTGATAACAAAAAACAGATGACAATTACGTTTCGTTTATTTTTGTTGTTGTACCGCTGTAATTTTAAGGAAATGAAATTGTAATCTAAAATAAATTAGATTGTATATAATTATAATGAACAATATATACGGGATTTGTTTTATTCATGACCACAATTAACTTGTAACTGTTATTATTTTTATAGGAACCACCCTTTGTACAATATAAAAACGAATCTAACTACCAATCCGGTGACGCATCGGTCCACCCGTTTGAAGGATTATTAATAGATATATTAGAGCAATTAGCAAAGGTTTTAGATTTCCGTTACAACATTACGCTTGTTCCGGATGGAAAGTTCGGTAGTTTGAAACCGCCACCCCGCGGCTGGACTGGTATGGTCCGCGTCTTAAAAGACGACGTAAGTAAACTGTGATGGTATTCCTTGTTACGTTTATACTTAAAGGACAAGGGATATGCGTAGACAGTATGCCAGTTAGTCAGAGGGTTTAATATTGTCTGTTACATTACCAACAGATCAGTCTAATATAACAACTTTTCGTCTTCAAAGGAATTGAAGCTAAAAATGGACCGTGTATCTGTTATCGCTCTCTACTTCAGTCAGTTTTGTGTCACTTCTCGTTTCTTCAAATCTTCGTTACGCATTTACCGTAGCAAAGATTTCTGTGTTAAAATTATATTTGGAATATGTTTAACCAGTTCTATCACATACTTAATATTGGCTGAAACCAACGTCTGCTGATTGAAATTCAATTCAAGTGTGGGTGGTTCTTAATAACAATATCAATGCAAACTAAAATGCAATTGAAAGTGCACTTGATATAACGGTTCAAATCGCATATGATAAAAGACAAGAGATAACTTAAAATGGTTTGTAATATGAACCATTAAAATTCTTACGTTATCAGTTCATTTTGTAGCTTCGTTAAAATTATCTACAATATGAAAAACAAAACCTGGTGTCTGAAAAAGTAACATTTTGATGGCTGATCTACTTATAATGCAACTGACAACATTAAACTCTCTGATCACTAACTGACATATACTGTCATCGCATGACCCTTGTTGCGAACTACTTTTGTAACGACATGGAAGTGGACGTTAAATAAAGCTATTTCACACACACACACACACACACACAAACATGCTAAACTACTAGAAAATATCTAGTTTAAAGGAGCTATATCCCTATTCTTTGGCACCTAGAAATTGACACAACTAGGTCTCAACACATTTAATAATGTAATATGAGTGTATATAAACTGATTTACATTCAATCGTTTCTATTTCTACTGCAATTTTTAATCAGTTATGTTGGGTGAAATCCGCGAAGCGTGCAAATTGAATGACAGTCTTTGGCGTTTGGTTATTCCAGTCTACACCGGTAGTTATCTCCTGTGGGGTATGTTTAGCCTTGTTCATCTAGTCGCCTTATTACAAACGGGGCTCGAAAGCATTCTGGCACGTGATTCATGTGCCAATTTAAAAATTGTCATGTTGACATAAATGTTGGATATCAGAAGTCCATGATTTCAATTTGATGAAATAGGGAATGAATAAATTGTACCAGTGAATTACAAATATCACATTTAGTATTCTCTTGTACAAAACACCTGAGTCGTTTATCTGTAGGTAAACTAAAGAAACATTAAGAATTAGAGAATGTTAATATTATACCACTATGATTGACTCTTGACTCTTGGAAATTAGCAATGGGGAGAAAATTGTTTACCGAAAAACCCCCTCTGACATTAAATTTTCAATCACTAGATATTACTGACACACTTTGAGGAAATATTGTAACTATGGATTAATTTTATTTTATATAAAATGATAACCATTTAAGAGATGTATAACGTTCAAAGGTTCTTTAATTTGTCTGAAGATACGAAAATGCTATTCCATTAATATATCTCTAAATCCAATCTACTATGATATGTATGTCATAGAAAGGAACTAACTATTTCTGATTGGAGTCATGGTGGGTCTAGAATGCCTTCAAACATTAATCTGTATGTGCTTATAATTCATAGGTTCAATCAAAGATACACGATAACTTTGTTCGCTATTGACCTATTTCCAGAACCTAATTAGGGTCAACGAATGCTGGTAAGACTAATACACGTGTAGATAAGGCAAACGCTTTAAGTTTGTTTTTTTTTGCTCATTGCGTTATAAAGAAATAAATCAGAGATTACGCTTTAATTTTTTAGTACAAAGTACTTGTATGTTTGATGCCGGTTTTTTCACATTTGATTCATTTCTGTTTTCAGAAAGCCGATGTAGCATTAGCACCATTCCAGATAACACCTGGTAGATCTGCTGTTGTTGATTTTACCAAGCCTTTCATGACTAAAGGCACCACGGTGATGGTCCGAAGACCAGAATTTAAAGTTGGTCACTTCCAGTTCCTTCGACCTCTTTCCAAATATGTGTGGATAGCTATATTTGTGGCGTTTGTGATAGTTAGTTTAGTGTTGTTCGGAGTGAGTCGTGTTAACACAGATAGACAAGCAAAATACACGCATAATTTAAGAGCCAGTTTCTGGTATATATGGGGAACTCTTTTACGCGGAAGCTTATGCGGAGCCCCAAAAGCTATTTCAAGCCGCACAATAAGTAGTACGTGGTGGTTTTTCTCTTTAATTATAATATCTATATATACGGCAAACTTAGCCGCCTTTTTGACAATAACAATTTCATCTATAGGGATTAATTCAGCTGCGGATTTAGCACAGCAAGACATTTTACAATATGGCACCGTAGATGGTAGTCAGATCGAGTACTTCTTTAATCATACAAAAATGGACCATTTTCAAAAAATGAAAGCCATGATGTCTGTCCAGCCCGGCTGGATGGTACGGACTGTCAAAATTGGGTTTGAAAGGGTTATGCAAGGAGGATATGCATTCATATGGGACTCACCAACTATCAGACATTTGGTGGCTTCCGATTGCAGTTTGATGGAGATAGGAACACCGTTTGATTTAAAAGGTTACGGTTTAGCAGTCAGAAAGAATGCACCTTATCTTGAGAAGATATCTCTGGCAATTCTGAAGCTTATTGATGAAGGGGTGGTATACCGTTTAGAGGGAAAGTAAGTCACTATTACCATAATTTATAGGTCTCACTTATCACCTACATTAAAGAGAAAAACAGTATAAATAGTGTTAATGTCCTTTGCCATCGTCAGTCTTAAACATAAAATCAGGAATTCCTATTCTTGTTAGTTTTCTTGAGATTCCATTAATTACCGCCACCCGTTAATATCACTATGCTTTTATGTTTAGGTCATGTAATCAAAACCTGTAAAAAACGGTAAATATGAAAAACAGACAAATATGTCTATCATTAGAATCTAGTTTAGGCTAATCATTTAAACTTGAGAAAAATATATTAGGTTGAATAAGGACGATTGTGTATGTATATTATCTATAAATTTAGTTTCTTCTAGATACGTGAATATCTCTTAATATAATTTCAATTACCGCCGACATCATGTTTTACGAAAATATGTCGAGCGCAAAAGTAGTAATGTAGGTCTCTGCCCCCTCCCCCAAATTATTTTTCATGAATAGAAGAAATACTGTTCATATATTTAACTACATAAGGACGCTAATTATTTTATTAACCCAAAATACACTCTTAAAGACTCAAGTTAGAAATTCGTATATGGTGCAAAATGATTGTTGCCAGATTACTTTTTATTGTTTGAGAGATTAGGATAATATACCCTTCTAGAATTCAGCATGATGAATGACATTTACAAATTTCAGATGGTGGCGTCGACAGTATTGTCCAGATCCACGACAAAAAGCCAAAACAGAATCACTTGACTTTGAAAATGTAGCAGGGATGTTTATTATTTTAGCAGCAGGAATTATTTTAGCACTGGTAGTATGTGCTGTAGAATACATCGTTGGTAAACTTCGAGCAAAAGTAGTAAGTACAAAAATGTTCAATCGTGTTTTAGTAAGTATTGGGTGTTCCTGAACGCCTGTCTGTACTAACAACTTCTAGTTTCTCCTAAAGTAAATAATACATTTTGTGTACATTTTTGGTCCCCCGCCTTTCGGAGAAAGCAGGGAACTATTAAAATGGGTGTGTCTGCCTGTATTTCTATCTGTCCGTCCACCTGCCTGTCTGTCCGCCCGCCTGTGTCTGTCCGTTACACTTTTTGGGACACTATAACCCTCCTTCTAAATAATCTAGAATATTCAAACTTAGTATTCGAAGATGAACATGTTCTGCTCAGGGTAAACAGAGATAAGCAATTTGATTGGTTGATGCCTTGGGACACGATAACTTTAGTTCTAATTACCGGTAAGTGAGAGTGATCAAACTTGATATATAGTTTCAGTACATCAATATCTTGACCAAGTTCGATAATAAGCATTTTCTGCTCAGCGTAAGCAGAGCAATAAGCAGTTTGATTGGTCGAGACTTTGGAACACAATAACTCTCCTTTTAATTGAGGTACAATGTTCATACTTGGCGTAGGCGTTCATTCGGCGAATTCGTTGATGAAGTGCGAAGATGGGCATTTTCGGCTTAGGGTAAGCAGAGATAAGCAATTTGATTGGTTGATTAAGTTCGATAATGAGCATTTTCTGCTCAGCGTAAACAGAGCGATAAGCAATTTGATTGGTCGAGACTTTGGAACACAAAATCTCTCCTTTTAATTGAGGTAGAATGTTCAAACTTGGCGTAGGCGATCATTAGGTACATGCCTTGACGGAGTGCGAAGATGAGCATTTTCTGCTTAGGGTAAGCAGAAATAAGCAATTTGATTGGTTGATGATTTGGGACGCGATAACTTTATTTCTAATTAAGTGAGAGTGATGAAACTTGGTGTATAGTGTCATTACATTAATACACCAACTAAGTTTGATAATGGGCATTTTCTGCTTAGAATAAGCAATTTGATTGGCCAAGACTTTGGAACATAACAACTCTGCTTGTAATTGAGGTAGAATGTTTAAACTTGATGTAGATGTGAATGACCGAGTTCAATGATTAACATTTCCACTAGAGCTAAGCACAGCTAAGCAATTTCCTGGTCGATGCTTTGGGACAAGATAACTTTGATTCTAACTAATGGAGAGTGATGAAACTTAGTGTATAGTTTCACAGCCAGGTACTTAAAAACCTTGACTTAGTTTGATCGTGAAAAATTTATGCTTAGAGTAAGTATAGATAATCAGTTTGGTTGCTCAGTACTTTTGAAAAAGATAAGTGTGCATGTGTCATCGATTTATTTTGGGATTTCGGCGGGGGGCATCAGCCTCACTGTTGGCTTGTTTGAAAGGCAATGTAGCGATAGAACTTTAGTATGCTATGTTTAACCTTTCTGGAATATATGTGTCTACTGTACCACGGTGGCTTAGTAAGTAAGGCACTAACTAACAAACTAGTAGGTCCCGGATATGATCCTATTGGTGTTCGAAAAAGTTCCTCTGGATTTTCCAACCTAGCTTACCCTTGTCAGTTGAGTCTAGTTTTTCGTGTGATACAAAATCTCGAGCCTCCGTATACAAGTTGTCGTTCACATGTAAGCAAACTGGCAGTTTTAATTCGATGAAGAGTAAGAGGAAACTGTATTCCGGTCGTCTATATACCTTTGGGTCCAGACATGTAGGACGTTTAACCCCATATAATTCCATTTCCTAATTCGATTTTGTTCACCCATGATTACACTGAATTCGTATTTTGTACCAGTGAATTTTGAATTTAATAGCTCTTTATGGTATTATAATAATAATAGTATGTAAAGGGTTCCATTACATTAAAACAAATACTATGTGCGTATTACTTTGTATCCAAGACCACCTTAATTTGGTCACGTCAACGATTCCTTGATAAGTCCAACCACATCTCTAAATTTAACACGACAATTATTGCAATATCCGTTCTGGATAAATACTCAGATTGTATATGAAAGGTTAAAGTGAACCACATACAATACATGTTATATTGATTACCAATACCAGCTGATGGCTCAATTGTTTAATCTAAAATTCTAATTATAACTAAACCGAGTATATCCTACATCTTTTGTCTTTTATCTATAAGCGTTTGAGGGTTTGCAATGGTGACGACTTTCATGGGTGGTACATCACCTTTACATATAATAAATCGATTTAATCATTTAATCGTTCTATTCTTAGATCGAAAAACTGATCTATATTAAATAGAGGGTATTCAAAAACTACAATAACTTGGATAAATTTTTATGATTCTGAAGTTTGTCGAAAAGTTTTGTATTGTAAAGACATTTTTCCTAGCTGGAATTAACCGGTGGTGCCAAAACCAATGTTAGAAAGAAACACTGACTAACTAGACTAGGTTTTTGGGCAGTTGTTAACACATACGTCATTATGGACCACCAATATATATATATTTATATATTTGTATGTGACCTTCTAATACTCCCTAACAGTGATTACATATTTATTATTTATCAAAGTCGAGTTTCAGTTTATCACTTAATTTAATAGATCGATTACTTTATCTAGTCAATACGTAATCAAGGAATGTATACGCATTGGTTTTCTAGCCTTTGTAGTTTAATCTTGTAACTATATCGTATGCGAAATGAAGCTATTAACAATGTTATGAATTATGAATATTTTAGCATGAAATATTTTGAAAAATATGTAATCAATTACATGGATATAAAATCGATCTATATAGAGCAAAACCATCAATACAAATGCACAGATGGACATTAATTATTTATAATAAATAAAAATCAGCCCACATGTTTATACAAATGCATAGATAGAAATTAATTATTTATTGGATTATTGAAATATATATCCACGTAGCTAATAACCTAACATAGCTAATGGGTGAATAAAATATTTTAAATAACAACTATTGATAGCATATGGCCCGGTAGTTAATATGATATATTAGTGTGTTAACTAATCTAGCGCAGGGGCTACATTGTGTTACAGAGCTAATAAAGTATTAAAACGAAACCAGAAAAAATTAGCACCGGTATTTGAAATGTCATTAGAACTATAGTTGATAAAAATGATAAAATAAAGTTGTCTTCAGACACGATGTTTCTTCCTGAATAAAAAATAGTTAATTTCCACTAAATACATTTGTGGCCCTTAAAGATGGCAAAACTTAGCATTATCAATAATGTAATGGTGTGAGAATGTATTTATATATGGTTAGCTGTAAATGAATCGAATCAGTAGGCTGTAAAAATATACACAAACTAATAATACAGCAACCCCATATATGGATACTTTGTCTTTAACAGCCTTACATTTATAACAATAATCATACCCATGGATAATAACATTTAATGGAATGAAATACAGTTTAGCGCCCTACTGTTTTGCACTGACTGGGTTAATGAAGACGGTGCCATGCATTATTATATGAGGGAACTTTTGTCCGGACAGAGGGACTACGGCCTACTCATATATCGAATTCCAGCTGTCAAGGGTTCTTATACCTGCACGTCAATGTGTACACGTCATTACCAGATCCTCCGTCCTATACCACTGACAAGCGGGAGCCACGCCGGAAAATCCAGATGAACGTTCTCGGTCAACACAGGGATCTAATATGGGACCTCCAGGTTAGCGGGCCAACGTCTTACCCAGCCTCTGAACAAAATTGAACCATTTTTAGAGATTCAAGTTTCACAACACTGTATTCTTCATGACATTCAAGATTCTTCAAATGAAGATCAGCAGCTTAATGACATACTGAAATTAACCGCAAAGAAAATTGTATAAAAGATACCTCTTTTAATTATGTTTGAAAAGGCTTCAAAGCACGCATTAATGTTTAATGATATATGTACAGCAACGGAAATTTGTATCTTAATTTTGATTAACAAAGAGATATTGGGCATATTTTGTTAGAAGAATGCCTCTAAACACACACGATAAAGCATTTTATTAATGTAGGGGTAAATTCCATTTCGAACAGCTTTTTTAAAACCTCTCAAAATCTCAGATTCAAACTTTATAGGTGAAATTGTGTTTCTTCTACATTGGTTAGAACTTCTAAATGTGGCATTCTTATATTTTTCAGAACCCGAGTAAGAAACGAGAGCCGCCAGCCAACAACACCCACAATAGAAATAGTGACTTAAATGAGGCCAATACACCAGATATGTTGGGCGATATACAAGTGTATTCAAATCATATTACGTATGCGCAGGAAAATCACGATGCTTATAAAAGATACTCAGAGTATGAATCTAGACTTTGATTATAAAATATCCTGATGAAATATTTGTGATAATAAATGTAAAATAATATTTGATAATGTCAGAAGATGAAATCATTGTCAGGTTATATCCCATGTGTGTTTAATATGACAACATCAAGTTAATAACAACTCTCCGGTGCTGATATATTTCGGTGTTTTGTGGCAATAACAACTGTGTTGATACGTGTGTGAAAACACATGCCTATTACTTATCGACAATTATCTACTGATAACATGTGACATAATGGGTCAGGAAAATTAGATGATACCATATATCTTAATGGTTTGGGTAAATCAATTGATACCATATCACATAATAGTTTGGGAAAATCAGTTGATACAATATCACATAATAGTCTGGGAAAATCAGTTGATACAATATCACATAGTGGTTTGGGAAAATCAGTTGATACAATATCACATAGTGGTTTGGGAAAATCAGTTGATACCATATCACATAATGTTGGTATCATATCTTTTTATAACAAATGTTTGAACAAGTAACATAATATTGACAGCATAATAAATGTTTGAACAAATAACACACTGTTGATATCATGTCGTGTCATAACAAATGTTTGAACAAATAACATAATGCTAATATCATATTATGTCATAGCAAATGCCTGGATACTAACTAATTGCCATAACAGAGATCATAACATTGGTTGTGATTAACAAATACCTGATATTAACATTCTGCTGACAAAAGTTGTTTCATGTGATTAACAAATACTTGATATTAACAATCTGCTGACAAAAGTATGACCATTATATATGTCTTAGCAAATATTTCCTGATGATATAGATTATTATTTAAATGGATCATATTTCTCAGAATGTTTAAAAGCAAAAGATCATTTTTTGTGTTAATTGAGAGTCGGTTTCGAATTTTATTCATCACATGAGTATTACGAATGTTTTCTTTTATTGCGGCGCATAACATTTTGAAATGTAGAAATGTTGTAATATAGTTTGGAGCATTATTTTGAAATATTTGTTCTGCTTGTTATTATACTTTCAAATCGAATTTGCCTATCAATGAAGGCGTATAATATGTAGTGTATATACAGTCATCAAAATCATCCTGCATGACTAAAATATTTTCATTGCTTAATACATAAAATACCTAGAGAACAAACGTATTGTAATATATCTGTGGAACATACCATGATCATCACATAATATTTTCATGTTTCTATTTTCAAAGACTGCAATGCAATCATGTAAAACTGCTGAGGGTGTAAGTAACCAAATACAGTTTCATTGTTGTATTATAATTATTTTTCAAAACATATTTTGTTCATATTTTGAAAATCTAGATGCACCATAGTGTTTATGTTTGTACATTAAAATCAGAATATTTTGGGTTTTAATAGATTTTTAAACTATAGTAATTGTTCTTATATATAAAAGTGAAATCTTTATGTACAAAAATTAAATGCGAATAAATGAACTACATAGTATCGTGTTCACTTTTCTTCGTTCTGTTCGATCGAATGTGTTTTACCCGGGTTATCTTATACCAGCTATTAGTAACTGGTCATATCTGGCTTTCAAAATTAGAATGCAATATTGCTATTTGAGAATATCTTTGTGTATATGCTAGCGGTCAGATTATTCTGGAATTTCTGGTATGTTTATGTCTATGTGAAAGTCAACTAAACAATACTTGAAAAAAAGTCGTCATCAAAACAATACTTTTGGGGCGAGGGGGGGGGGGCATCTAAACATCATTCGAAATCAAAATCGTCCCAATAAATGAAACAGAAAGGTCATCTAAACAATAATTGAAAACAAAAAGTTATCTAAACAATACTTTGAAAAGAAAAAAAATAGTCCGTCTCAAAATAAATCTATTTGGTCTCCAAAGTATTCATCGTCAATTAATGAGGTAAAGAAAGAATGTCAAAAAAGAAGGGAAAAATCCCAATTACTTTATACTCCTGACTCCACAATGTGATAAATCCCGATTTAGATACTCTTTGAAGTTTCTTATATGTTTAGTTTCTATATTCCTTAGGTTTAAAACTAAACGAAACTAAAATACTGCGAATTTTAATATTCAAAGTTGAGCCGAGTATGTTCAGACTTACACGTGTGTAACACGATACACTTTTGTTACTAAAGAGTTGTATATACCCACTTAAATCACATTACCAGAAATATTCATCATAAACCCCGAGGACATCAGAATTTTCGAGATAATTCTTAGACCTGGCATCTTATCAAGCCCTTCACGTAATACCCAGCATATTTCGGCACTAATTTTGATTGGCTACTGACCAAGTCTCGCGCTTTCAAGCTAAAATGTTTACCTGTGATAATCGAGTTGCAGAATTCAAGGTTCGTTCAATGTCTATGATTCCTTGGAGGTCGCCATGTTTGATTTGAGCGTGTTTGTGTCATAACCTCTGATTGGACGCTATCGTTAAAGGGAAATAACGTAGCTATAACTTTGGGAATTGTAGACCAGTGTAGCAACGTCTACATGTTGTAAAACTCGCGGTCATTGTTTAGGAACATGGCAGGCTTTGCATTCTTACAAAATTCTTAATAAATACCCATGGGTAGTATTTAATTTTACTCATGTTATAAGTGTTTTCTGAACACCAGAATTCTGCAAAATCTGTCCCCAAAGTCCAGGACATGGCATTTAAGGAACTCTAAAAAGCTCGATTCCTGTGGTGCGACTGGTGGCTGCGTAACTCGCATTACGGGCCTGTGCATCAATCTGTCTCATTTTTGCTACCCCCCCCCCCCCACACACACTCCTTCTCCAAACAAAATCGATAAATGTACGCCTTTGTTTAAGCACTCTAGTTATTATCCAGTGCGCAAGATATAAAGATTGCATTAAAATATGTATTATGCACTGTTTACACCTATGAGATGAAACCCCCAAATGAAAGACTTTCAGAATTATTGTCCTTGATTACGTTGCAAAATAGTGTGGCCAACCGGGTGGGTAAATTTCTTATTGGATCTGTTGAAATATATACTGACTGTTCATATTGGTAAGACTTGGACAAACCTATTTCTAACAGTTACTGAGTTATAACTGTTTAACAATCTGTACAGGCTGTGTTTTTCTTATTCTAAAAAGCAAATGTCGATTCAAATACGACCAAACTACAGCTTCATGTAAAGACTGAATAATAATCAATAAAAATATTTGAGGTATTAACAGTAACGATATCAATTATGGGGTATTTGTGAAACTATACAAATCTGCAAATAACTTAATTGTCGTTTCCATGTAGAATCGTCTTTTGATGGGTTTGGTAGAGTACCTAGATTTGCTTTCAGATCTAGATTACTAGAATGGCCAACACAATATCATGAGTAAGAAAGATTCCAAATACAAAGCTAGCACTGAGCGCAGAACAGATTTCACAGCAAAATGTTTAAAGGAAAGGGGAGGGGGTCCACAAGACCGCTTGTTTCCGATAATGTAATACTCCTGGTCTCTTGTCAAATGATGAATGTTGCCACTGCCTCACTTCCCTTCTATTTGCAGCATTATACTCGACATTAAGTAGCTGTCAGTGTATAAAATTCTCGCTAGACAATTATGAACCAGTTCCTCACAATGGTTAGGGATATGTTTATCCCTTGTATACACACAAGGGTCAAGGATACATATGAGCTTTTGTTTGACGATTTGGTCCATCGACGTGCCTACTACCAATAGTCAGGCGATTAAGATCAGTAGTAATCTAATCAAAATAACGCAATTCCACCACTTTTTGTATATTGCTTTAACTTGTCAACTTAATTACAGCCGTCGACAAACACCGACAATAACAAAACAAAATGTGAAAACAGATTCCATAAAGATCTACTGACAATCGACGTATTGTCTTCTAAAACATACGAACCACTGAAATATATTAAATAAGTTCATTAGATAAATATTACACAGTTTTGAACTGAACACCAATTGTTTTGATTAAAGTTTCCCATTTGATATTAGTAGCCAATAAAGTTTAAAAGCGCACAAAATAATGAATTTACAGGCGACGTCTAATGTTTTATTTCCCTCGGTAGTTTGGTATAATTAGCATAATAATATACCTTTAAAGGCGGCCATTTGCCGAAATAAATGTATGATTATGCTAAAAGTAAAGGTTAAGCATATGTTTTTAAAGTTTCAATCACGTGTAGCCTTCCACGAAAGGCAAATGTGCAGATTTATCCGTACTTTTGTTTAAACATTACATACTGAGACTACAAAACCCAACTTCGTAAAAAAAATCGTTTAACTGTTTCCAGCAAACAGGTATAATTAAAACCTCTTTTTTCCGTTTCTCAATTATCGGAAGCAAAAATGTAAGACCATAATTGTTGATGGGGTTTTCTCAATTGTATATAAATTTAAAGTTATGGGTTTTTTTTTACACTTTAAGCCTGTTCGTGTAATAAAAAAATCGTGAGATGTATTTATCTAAGAATTGTGTAGTAATTATTGATCATCAAAGGCAAATATTTAAAAAAAAAAGTCGCGGATAATTTTTCAAATTATTTATTGATTTTGTGTGTTTGTGTATCTGTAATGAATAATACAAAACGTGAAATCAATAGTTACTATTGACTAAATAAAAACCTACTCAGACGATTTTTAATGCCCATGTCCTAAACTGCCCCCCCCCCCATAGCACACTGTATTGTGTATGCATTAACCTGATTTGTACCGAAAGGTAGGACGTTAAACCCCATTTCATTTCTTTCTGTTCATTTCCAGTCCTGAACATTTTGGTTCCCGATTTGTTGGAAACGCCTATTTTGTAGTGAGGTAAGCTTTGCATTACAATCCAAAGAATTGTATTCCCAAAAAGCCCATTCATACAAATGCAGCAGGGAGAACAGGATGAATTATAACTTTATACCCTGGACGTTTTATACTTATATCATATTCAGGTATACACTAATGAGTCTATTATGAAAATGACTCCAATTTTAAGCCTCTCTAGCTCTAATGTTGTCCCTAAAACCCGACAAGACCCCTGCCTTCAATCCACTGGGGAAGCGTCTGGCGCCACGAGGCCCCCAGCAGCTTTGTTCGCGACCATTGAGCAACTGCTTGTTACTAGCCTTTCTGAAAAGTTGCTCTCCCTCATCCACCTTGCTCCAAATTGCTTCCAACGCACCTGACCTTAGTACACAGGAACCTAAAAGTAGGACGTTAAACCCCCATTTCGTTTCACTTCATTTCACGTCACGAAACAAGACATCCTCTTTAGTTTATAACTATTCAGTTTTACTTACTATTTATGTTCGCAATAAAAAAAAACTATTCAATTTTGCAGTTAAAGCTGACCCTAATGGCCCACCGTAGTCCAATGTTCTGAAGTATATAATAAAGAAATATTTATTTAATGTTGGGCATGTCGGTTACATGATACCCGTGGGGACAATTTCTATCTAGTAATCAACATTAACTATATATTGACAAACAACGACAGTAAAAGGTTGCACTAACATAAAAAGGGGTTCTGTAGTTATTTGTCGATTTTGTGAACTCATCAAATCAAAAGTATTGTGAAGAGTTCACAACATTCAAGTTGTGCAAACAGTGTACAATATCTGGCGTTTGTCTTTTCAAAGATTCGCCCATTATTCCTGAAATAACGCTGAATTGATACAGACAGTATTTAGTGGCAGTAGATACAGACAGGGGACATGCTGTTTTGGAGATTTTAAAGAGCCATTATCTAGGGCTGTATTAAATACCGAAATAAAAAATCGAAAGTACTGAGAAAATATGGAAAATCCTAAATACCGAAAATAACTAAACACCGAAAAACAACACTAATCACCGAAAAAGCCCTAGGCAACACATACACCTTGTTAGGTGGGGCATGGGAGAGAGAGAGAGAGAGAGAGAGAGAGAGAGAAATGGAGTTTAACGTCCACACAAACTAGGTCATTTCGGGACTAACATATGGTTTAATTTTATTTCAATAATTCGCTTGCGCATAGGGGTCTTTAGCAGTGGGAGGAAACCGGAGGACCCGGAGAAAACCCACGAGGTTGGGTGGGTCATGGGATAGGCCAGATCACGCATAAAAATTGTATGAATTCTAGGTGGGGGACACTCTAGGTGGGCAATGGGTCCAGCTAGGCCACGCATAGATATAGTGGGGCACTCTAGGTTGGTCATGGATCCCAATGGGTCCCGCATAAAACTTGTGGGGCACTGTGGGGCAGACTATGACACTTATAAAAATTGTGGGGCACTCTAGGTGGGTCATGGATAAGGGTTTTTCCGACGGCAATTTATCTCGTTTACACCGTTCAGCACAT